GCCTCGTTGTCTAGCCATGCTACATTGTGCAGAATCATCATAAATCAAGGTTCTATAGTATCTAAAGGTTTGCCTAGCCGCATGATACTATGTTCGCAAAAACAGAGTACGTAGTACTAAAACAGAGCACAAATTCGAATTGAGCATGATAAGCATTTTTTAAGAAATCAAACAATTTCTTGCAACACTATAGTGATTATTGTGACAAACTGAACAAGAATTGCTAGCAAAAACATCAAGAACGAGCCACATTGTTTTCCACGACCTTAGGAGGTCCAACAATGGCGGATTGCTCATTTCTTTGCCAAATTGAGTCAAACAAGTCTCAAATTACTCCCAAGGCAATATAAAAACATAAACAAGCAATTTCACGGCATAAAGTTTGATAAATAAAGCAAATTGAGCATTATAAGTTTCGAATTTTAATGAAATTCGTGAATGAACATGCCAATAATTCATAAAAACCGGTGTGAGTTGGAAGGAAACTTACATAGATCGGGAATATGGATGAAAAGAGCTTTGATTTGCAACAAATTTGAGCAAATTCGATTGAGAAACGAATGAGCAACGATCAATTGAAGTTCCGACTTCTTTCGAGCAGCGTTCGCAACAAACCAGAGCACGAAATGAACTGAAAACGGGAATTTAAAGTGATTCCCGTGCTGGTGCCAGTCCCTAGGCATTGGCGTCACATTATGTGCCTGGCGCCAGACGCCAATTTCAGCGCATGGCGCTAATGCTATAAAGCTGGCGCTGATCGATTTTCAGCGACGCCAAAGCAGCCAGCCACCTTTTGGGGTAGTGCTAGCCTTCTGCAATATATTTTGGGTTCCTTGGTACGCCAGTTAGCCCCTTTGAGCAATTTGACATGATAGGTAATCGGCTTGATTACATGAAGTGATCGACCTGATGAAAAGATCGTCTCACTAAGCTTAAAGCGCCTAAGCATTGGCTCATTAGCAAAGGGCACCGACATACAGGTTCATTAGCAAAAGGCACCGACATACAGGTTCATTAGCAAAAAAAGGGCACCGACATATAGGTTCAAGAGCAAAGAGCGCCGACGTACAGGCATAGCAAAAAAGCAAAGTTCAGGCGAACTTTTAAAGATCGACGGGCGTGGATCTTCGGTATTTTCCTTTGGGAGATTATCGCATCAAATGAGGAAGACTTGAAGAGAGGATGTCTTCGGCATCATTCCCTAGCTTGCGGAAAGTTGTCACAAACAACTGAAGGTAATTTCAGGCGAAATTGTCTTCGATCATAGTTCCTGAGGCATGGAACGTGATCATAATGCGGATGAGAATTATTTCAAGAGAAATAATTTTCGATGGTATTCCCTTGGACGTGGAATATTATCACGGCGGAGAGGATAGTTTCAGACGAAGCAATCTTCTAATTTGGAAGCAGTTACAAGGCGTAGCGGTTTTCAAGCGGGATGACATTCTCTAGCTTGCAGGAGGTCATCAAAGCAATCGGTTACTTTCAGAAACGTGTGCTCGACGGTGCAAGATACGCGTTTTGCAGGAGGTCATCAAAGCGGGATGACATTCTCTAGCGGTTTTCAAGCGGGATGACATTCTCTAGCTCTAGCTTGCAGGAGGTCATCAAAGCAATCGGTTATCTATTTAACTAACGCTAGTTTTGCAGGTATCGGCGTTATAATATTGATTTAGGATCGCAGAACATTCTGAATCATTCTCCGTCCCTATCGTTACTTTGACTTTCGTTTTTCGAAACTTGCGTTTCTCCAAACTCAGTCAAAGTGGGGGCTTCTGTAGACACCCATTTGTGTCTCCCCAAAACCAAACCCAGTGATGAGTGCCTTTCACGTCGAATCATAATCGAATGAAACGAAAGTGTGGAAAGGTCTAGTGTTGCGGAAAGTTTTATTTCTTTTCTTTTCTCTTCTCTCTGTTTTTGAAAACTTTATTTTAAGAAAACAGCCAATCCAGTTTGGTTGGTCCATGATATGGGTCCAATAGTGGTGTAGTTGGATGGGGCTTGCAAAGACCTTTCCAACGATATATTATAAGCCCAATTCCGATGAATATTGAGGAATTTATGGCCAATTTACTAAATTGGGCCCAGTTTGAGTTTTAAGTACGGCCCAATGATCTAGGGGAGGGCCTAATATGATTTATCATTCCTAATGTAATTAGGAATGGTTTTGGTCTTCTAGAACATTCTAGAAGGTTCTTATCATTCTTAATTCAATTAGGATTCTTTAGAGTTTTAATTAGATCAAATAGCATTTTCGACTGAAATTATATTATTTTATCTTCCAGTACGGTAAAATTATCAGATTTTCGAAAACGTGTTAAAAGCCGATTTGGCGTCCAACCCCAGGCCTTGGCGCTTGGAACCAGGATTGGTGCCAGACGCCAGCCATTGGCGCTTGGCCCTATAAATTCCGTTTTTTCATTTCATCTTTTTTTTTTTTTTTTTTTTTTTTTTTTTTTTTTTTTTTTTTTTTTTTTTTTTTTTTTATTCCGTTTTCATTCATCATCTACAATCTTCAATCGTCAACAAATTAGTTTATGAATCATTAATCTTTGATTCATTCTTTCTAAACTTTATTCTTTAACACAAAATTCCGCATTCACAAGATCTTGATACACCTAGCCATATTCGAAGTTGCCTTCGCCCTAGACGTGAAAGGTTTTAATTTCTAAGGGTTTGGTCCCAAATCTCTATTTCAATTATTTAATTTAATTGCTTTGTTTATTATTTTCCTTGAAGTTACTAACGTGTGTATTTTGTAATTAGAAAGAGGTACGAGGCATCCAAGTAAGTACTTAATTGATTTTATGATGTAGACATCATGTTTATATTGTTATTATGATATTCTTAGTATCATGTCTAGGGTGTTTTTTAATATTAAGCGTGATTAAAAATATGATGCTTCCTATGTTCTTTCTAACATTTATGATTATGATTGATGATGATTATTTATTATGTTGCTTGATATATATTTTATATTGTTATTGCTTGATCACCTTTTATTGCAGGTTAAAGGGAATTGGTATTTGCAATCACGCTTGATAAGATAATTAATAATCTTGTTAGGTTAATTGTGATTTATAATTCAAGTGATCGCCAATAATAGTTTGTTTGTGCATTAAATTCAACCAACATAGATTAAACAGGTTTAGGGTTAATCCTATTGATTGCATGTTAGTCAGAAAGCGCACATGAATATGAGCAGAATAAAGTAGAGGCCTATTATTAGGGCAGGTTCAATCTCTTTTAGGTTGGATTTGTACCTTCATCCCCGAACCCCTATTTTGGTTCATGACCTTATGGAGTTGACGATCTCTTGGATCGTTAAGGGGTGTAACCTTCACCTCGTGAACGGTTTACAAGTTCCTTAACAACTTGTTGGCGACTCTTTTGCTCTATCTTCTTCCCTTTTGGACGCCACCGTACTTTAGTGTATGATCACAGCGGGGTTCAAGCTAGTGGGATTTTTTAAAGGCTTGAAATTATTCCCTACAGGTGGTGATGCTGAAGTTATTGAGATGGGCCAGCTTCTTTGCATAATAGGTCTTTGGAATTGTATGTTAAGCATACAAATAATGACCCTGAAGAGAGTGATGACTCTAGAGAGTCTTTGGAGGAGAAAAATGAGAGTGGGGAGACTGTTAGTCAGCAGCAAGAATAAAGAGAGTCCTAAGCCATTGACCACAAAAAGAAAAAAAATAACACCAAAAAGGGGACCACCCACACAACTTGTTACTGTACCTAGAAGAAGTCCAAGAAAACATGTGCACTTTTCTGATTCCACTACAACCCCTAATAAAAAAAGTACTGGGAAAGGGAAAAAGATAGATTCCCACTTATTCATAACAGATGCTACTCTCTCTTGTTGCCCTAAACCAGCCACTTCCTTTTATACTCAACCAACCACTTCTACAAAAGCTACAACCTCTGTCAATGATAACCCTGAGCCTTCTTCTGTTGGACACATCTTTGACCCAAACAACAACATCATTTTTCAACTAACTGTTGAGGATCTAGATCCATACACTAAGCTTGATTATGATTGGGAAGATGATAGGCCAGAGAGTCCTTTGAAATGGAATGATTTGGTAGGCTATTCTAGTGCTGACAGTTTTACAACACTTGAGTGTTACAACATCACTCAATTAAGCTTACACATAACAAAAGCAAACATCACCCATGACAATAACAACAACAAATATAAATGTTTCTCATTTTTCCTACACTTCTTCAGCTGATGTTGTAGCTCTTCATTTTCTGTCTTGAGCCAATCAACAACCTCCCCGAGTTTATCTTTCTCCAGGTCTAACTTTTTTATCCTGTCCACCTTCATTTTCTGCTCAAACTCCAATTCACAAATCTCAGTATCCTTCTCCATAATCTTCATTTCAAGATCTTCCATGTGACTAGTGGTAGTTATCCACTTGAAAGTCTCACATTGTGTATCCTACATTACAAAAATCAATACAAATCCCCAAAATAAAGTAATTGCTTGAATTGCTTTACAATTTCAAAAAAAAAAAAAAATTAAAATTAAACTCACCGCCCAAAGTGGACATCCGTAAAACTTCATCCTCTTATTACTACCATTTTTCACAGTCCTCACAACAACATCCTTCCCACAAGAACATCGAATTTTAGGGTTAACCTCCCTTCTTGAAGTAATTGATCTTCCAGACCCACCAGAATGGGATGGTTGTCCCCTCCCAGACATACTACCCAATTACAATTTGCTAAATTTCAAGGCAAATTTTTAAAAACAGTAGAAGTGAATTTGGGGAAAAATTGAATTTGGGGAAGAAGACGCAAGAACAGAGGGGGAAGGGTTTGGGGTTTATTTATAAAGAGAAGTAGAAAAGATTCCTTTTTTAATCCATTGTACAACGATCATTTACACGTCAGAAAAATAACAGCCATGTCATCAGTTCACCTTTTGTAACAGGTAACCTCGATTCTATGCCTGTTAAAAATAGAAGGGGTATAAAAGTTGTAATATTCAGGTATAAACGAAAAGTTGTATTATTTAAAATAAATCGAGCAAAGGTTGTATTATTTATGACAATTTTTCCTAAGTTTAATCACCTTAGAATTTTGATACATTACATAATTACATTGGGGGTGTGTTATTTACAAGTACTAGATAAGATAGCCATCTTTCCCGTCAAAAAAAAAATAAGATAGCCATCTTTTCCTCTTTTAGTGGAAGTTACCTGGAAGCCAAGGCTGTCTTAACCCCTAAATTTGAAATTGGTTTCTTAGCCCCTTACGTTGAAATTAGAGGGAAAAAAAGGTTAACAAGGAAGAGAAAACATCGGACAAAATGCCGGTCGCAAAACCTGCTTCGTCAGAGGCAAGGGTCATTGCTCACCTCGACATGGACTGCTTCTATGTTCAAGGTCTGTATACTACTCTTCTTCTTTACTCAATTCTATTCCAATTTATTATTATTTTTTTAATTTTAATTTATGGGTTGGTAATTCTGAATCTGTTTGATTGTTTAAGCATTCATACAGTTATTCTTGTATTTGTTCTGGTTGATTAACACCTCTTTTCCTCTGACCATTGTGTTTTTAACTTGTAAGATGCATAATTAGAAACGATTGGGTGGTTAGGTTTAGGATTTGGGAGGGGGGTTTTGATGGGGTTACATTAATTAGTTGATTTTTGTGTTTAAATTGATTGATTTGCGAGGTCTTACTGTGCATTTTGGGCGACGAGAGTGGCATTCATATAGTTATTCTTGTAGTTGTATTTGTTGATTAACACCTTTTTACCTCTAATTTTGACCATTTCATTTCTAAAATGCGTAATTAGAAATGATTGAATAGTTAGGTTTAGGAATTGGGAGGGGATTTTTGATGGGATTACATTAATTATTAGATTTTTGTGCTTAAAATAATTGATTTGCAAGGTTTTCTGCACGAGGAGAGTTGCATCATAAGCCCTTGTTTGTTCATGATCATAATAATATAATGGATTAAGTGGGAGATAGACTTTTGTATGTATTGTTCATAGTTAAATTCTAACTGATTGGTTAAAAATGTAAACTTGTTTGTTCTTGACTCCTATTGCTGTTTTGCAGTGTGATATAGCAATCTAAGTGTTTTGTTGCCCTTGTGGTGGCATATATTGCTCTCTGTTATTTTAGTCTATTTACTGTAGAATTTCCTTAAATATCTTTGTAATCTTGTGGATCCATTTATAGAGCTTTGTGTTCTTTACAGCAATAAAACGTGCGAAGTCTATATACAGTATATTTTTGATGAATCAATGATGTACTTTAGGGTGTAACTAATAAAAAAATTATCTGTAATGCTTACACTGTTACATAATATTGATTTTTTTTTTGTACAAAAATTGTACTGATTAGTCTCAGGCTCTCAGCTCCAGTCCTTGCATCCACTATGGCGTTTAATTGTATGCTTTCTTGTAAACCATTTCCTAAGCCTATACATATATCATGCCTTGTGTAGTGGAGCAGAGGAAACAACCACAGCTGAGGGGTTTACCTACTGCTGTTGTTCAATACAATGAATGGAAAGGAGGTGGTTTGATTGCTGTTAGCTATGAGGCCAGAAAATATGGTGTTAAACGGTATTATAATAACTAAGTGCAGGATTCAGTTCATTTATTTGTTATTATCTTTGGCCTGATTTTAATACTTGCATTTTAGTTCCATGCGTGGTGATGAAGCTAAAAGTGTTTGTCCACAAATTCAGCTGGTTCAAGTGCCAATTGCACGTGGCAAAGCTGATCTTAGTATTTACCGTGATGCAGGTTCAGAGGTGTATGAAAATTTCAAGATGCTCTTTGTTTTTACTTATACATCTTTTGTAAAACCAGTAAAATGTGCCTTACAAGTAATTATGATGTATAGGTGGTTTCAATCCTTGCTAAGACGGGTCGGTGTGAACGAGCATCAATTGATGAAGTTTATCTTGATCTTACTGATGCAGCAGAAACCATGTTAGCAGAGACTCCTCCAGAGAGCTTGGATGACTTGGATGATGAGGCTTTGAAGTCGCATGTTCTTGGTCTTGATGATGTAAGGTTAAATTTATTCCGGTGCTTAATGTGTTGTTCCTTTGTTTTAACTTAGTTGCAACATGACAAGCTGATAGGTCGTTAACTAAATCTTAGATATCAAACAAATTAGAAATGCTCAAGCAAGATACTAGTAAGTAGCAAGCATGAGGTTGAACCATGAGGAAAGGGGAAGCTAATTGCAATGGCCTAAGACTGAGCTATTATGAAGTGAAGTAGTGAATGTTTGAGCTAAACTATAACCAAGCTAAGGATGCAAATCGAAAAGGTAATCAAATGATAAAGATACTAGGGAGTTGGGATCCTCATGACTTCAAGCAATTGAGATAGAAATAGGGAATCAATCAATCATTACTATGCAAAGCCTGGGATTAAATGAGCAATCAATACCAATCAAGAGAAACTCTCAAATTCACAAGCCTAGATCCCTCTAAGACTCAATCCAAGGAGAAATATGATCAAGAATGCTATCAATTATGGTGATCCAAGTTCACATTCCCATGCCAAACAAGGACCAACATAAATCAACAAGCAAACCACCTAATCACATTTAATCACAAGGTAACTTTGATTAATTTCCCAAATTCTAACTCAAATCACCATCAAAACATGATTCACCCTAATCCCTAGCTAAGAATCTACTTACTAAGGGTGATTCTACCAAATTCAAAAGCTAAATCAAATAAAGATATCTCCACCATTGAGTTTAAGCAAGAGATCAACTATAGAATCAATTAAGCTATGAAATCCACTAAGATTAGTGTTGTATTAACAATAGAAGGTAACTCTGTTTTGTTTTGTGGTTGTTATTTTGAATCTTCCTTGTGGTTAGTAGGAGCGGGCAAAAATCTAAGGTACCCTACAATTGGAACTGGAACCTGTTTGGAATTGCAGGTTTCAAAACCGGGACTTGTAGATCACGTTTCGGTTCCAACTTCCAACTTCCAAATTTTGGACCCGAAACTTGTAGGGTACCCTGTTCGTATAGGTTGTTGTAAGGTATTCAAAAACGGAACCTATCATTTAAGCCCAAATATAAACGCCCTATATATGGGAAAAAACTCGGTCGTTCTGTTATGTAACGCCCGCTTTATAACGGGTTTCAGATTTGTCGTTTCGGAAAAGGCCGTTATATAACGCTGAGTTAAAGTTCACACTCAAATCAGCGAGTTGGCCGTTCCGTAATGGTATATAGCCGTTCTGAAACCGTACAATTTATGAAAAAGTAAGTAAAAAAGTTGAGTCAAATAGTCACATGCTGCCCTTTTTTTTTTTTTTTTTTTTTTTTTTTTGGTCTTTCTTCAACATTTTTATTGCAGTTATGACAGCTTTGTTCCATCTTTTTTTAAAAAAAATTTATTTAGGGCCTGTTCTCATACGTTTATTTTCAGTTCAGTTCAGCTCCTTATCACCTTCTTTTATAAAATATTCATTTCAGTTTAGCTCTGAGTTCAGTCAATGAGAACAAGCCCTTATTTTACCTTTATGGTGAGTTGTGACCCATTAATTGCCCCTCTTTACCCCTTTTTTTAAAAGTAGTATGGTGCTTTCTACTCCGAATTGAAATTTAATGTTTGTAATTGTTTTGGGCATAATATGGTATAAATACAAAGCATGTGAATTAACAAGCTAAAAGTTCTACTTCTATGATTTTTTTTAAAAAAAATTTACGTCGCGAAATCCCAATTCGTTCTATTTAATCATTTCAAGCCGTTTCCGCGACAACGCGACCGTTATTGCAAACACGACCACGACCGCATTTTTTTTTTTCCATGGCCCTATATCAAAATTGTACAAAAGTACCTCTCTCCCTCCTCTTATTCATTCTTCATCTTAGTCTTAAAGATTAATTAATGGTATTTTATATAAGTATTTGTAGTTTCGTATTAAATGTTCTAGACAATTAGTGTTGGTTTGTTAGATTTGTAATATTGTATTAAAGTTTTAAGCTTTTACTGTGAACATCCATTTTTTATAAAAGAATTTATAACAATATGTCAAGTAATTAATAAGCTTACTTTGAAAGACAGGGTACCCTGTTCTAGAACCGGAACCTGTTGAATAGGGTACCCTGCTACACTCACCCCTAGTGGTTAGTCTTGTATTGTAACAATTAGTCAACTTGATTTTCATTCAGGATGGCACTGATGCTAAAGAATGTGTGAGAATTTGGCTTCAACGAAGTGATGCTGACCATAATGATAAGTTGCTGTCTTGTGGGGCCCTTATTGTTGCAGAACTCAGGAACAATGTCCTGAAAGAAACTGAATTTACTTGTTCTGCAGGGATTGCTCATAACAAGGTAGGATCATATTTTTTTGTCTAATTGAAATTGTTGTCTTTGGTGTTGGACTTTGTTTTTTGTTGTCATTTTATCTCTTGGGGTTTCATTAGCAATTTTTTTTTTTTTTTCTTTTATCTTGTACAAGATGCTGGCCAAATTAGCTAGTGGCTTAAACAAACCTGCTCAGCAGACTATTGTGCCATCTGCTTCTGTGAAAGAGTTTCTTGGGCCCTGGCCTATAAAGAAAATGTATGTTGTCTTTCCTCTACTATGCTTCCATATTAGTGCTAATTATTATTAAAGCCTAATCCTTTTCTGCTATTTAATTTATTACGTGTCATATCTTTTGTATGCATGAAAAAATCATTTTCCATCCATGTGATCATTGGTCGTTTGTTTGTACTTGCTACAATATTTGATGCCACAATTTATATTTCAGGAAACAGCTTGGGGGAAAGCTTGGAGATTCCTTACAAAGTGACTTAGGGATCAACACAGTTGGAGACCTGTTGCAGTTTTCAGAGCAGAAGCTTCAAGAACGTTGTGGCTTCAATACTGGGTTAGTATACTTCATACAGAACTTGATATAGAAACCAGTCAATCTGGGTTCCCTTATTTCAGATTATGTTGTTGATATGATTCAGTGGTAAGAATTGTCATGATTAATAGTCCCTGATGTCTATTAAAAGTCTCAGGTTAGTATACGTAATAGTGACTGTTGAGCTTAGAGAAGTTGATGTCTAGGAGTCGTGTTACACTTTGTGGCCATTATGGCATGGATTGATTAATTTGAAAAATATTCCCTTTGTCAATTGTAATTGAAAACTTTGGAATGTATCTTCTCATTCAATGGTTTGGTATATATTGCTTCATGATAGTTTGAGGCCCTAGTAGACTCTCCTTATTGTTTATGGTTGACATTCCCTTGCTGTATTCTAATTAAATTCTTTATTGCTTTTGCAGAATCAAAATAATTTATTTGCATAATTATGAGTTTCTGAACATTTAGATTAATATATGAATGTATGAATAATTTTTAGAAACTTTCACCTGCTTTTGATTAACCTTGTTAGGGCTAAAAATTTCACTTTGTTTCTATTGACTTGTGCAAAAAGTACTTGGTTGTGGAATATTGCAAGGGGTGTCAGTGGGGAAGAGGTCAAAGGTCGGATCTTACCCCAGAGTCATGGTTCAGGGAAGACATTTCCGGGTCCTCGAGCCTTGAGGTCAATTGACACAGTATGTTAATCCTCTCCTTGTGGTAGATAATTGTTTGCGATTGCTTCAACTATGAACTATAGGATAAATTATTTCGTCCCTTGTATTCAGTTTGAATTGGTAGTTATACATGTATGACAGTATGATCCCTAATGTTCAAATTGTGCAAAGATATTTGTTTGAAAGTTGAACTGCTGTAAATTATCCGAATGGGCATTTATTTTCTATAACTTCTTGACTGCTGTAAAGAATCTTAATGGGCATTTATTTTTTATAACTTCTTGACTGCTGTTAAGTATCCGAATAGGCTATTATAACTTCTCGTTTATCCATAATGTGATGATGTAGAAGTGAACCTGAAGGCCTTTATATTTAGTCACCTTGCTGAAATTATTTAACTATAACCTCTTTTTCTGAGACATCAGCATGCATAGTTCTGTCATTGATAAAGTCCATTTTCAAACCCAAAAATCCGAACTGTTGACTTAAATGACTTTGGGTATAGTCACGACCCGTGTTGATTGCATAATGCACTCTTGAATGCTTAGCAAAGATGGTCAATTTTGCTGGTTAGAGTAATGATATACGAAGTATTTTTGTATGCTTTGTGCTGTAGCTCAAACCCACACATTCCATCATATTTTCATTTCCTTCTGCAACTGTTCATATGGGATGGTCTTTTTCCCTTCCACCTCACAAACAAATAGTTTAAAAAAGAGTTTTGTGCCTGAGAATGATCGTTGATTGAGAAACTCTTCTAAATTTTGAATATACCTTTTAATCATTTGGGAATTGATTCCATTAAGGATTGACATGCATTACATGTTTGACTCTTTTGCCATATCTGATTTCTTGGTGTGACCTTTTAATTTTAAGTACAGGTTTCACATTGGCTTAAGAAATTGTGTGAAGAACTCAGTGAGCGTATTCTTGCAGACTTGGACCAGAATAAGAGGATAGCTCACACTCTTACTCTGCATGTGAGAGCAAATAAGGTAAATCTTTTACTACAGCTCATTCTTTGATCTACAGATGCATGGTGCTGTAATTGTATTCCGATTTTCCCTTCTTTTTTCTGTGTGTTATTTTACTTGGTATTTTGACTGCACAGTCAAGTGACACAGATTCTCAAAAGAGGTTCCCCTCTAAGTCATGTCCATTGCGATATGGGATTATAAAAATTCAAGAGGATGCTCTGAGCCTATTTCATGCTGGTCTACGGGAATTTTTGGGAACATATGGAGCTAGGAGCGAAAAAAATCAGAACAACGAATGGGGAATAACTGGTCTTTCTATCTCAGCTAGCAAAATAATTTCCGCACAAGTATGTACAAATTTTATCATCAAAGGTCATTTTTACTAGTTTAAGAGCTAAATTTTAGCCATTGGCTCATTGGTCTCCCTTTTCTCAGATTTCTTACGAACAACATTATGGATTTGGTAATACTACCCCAAAATTAAGAACGTGTGATAATGGTAAATATGTGAGAAAAAGAGTTTGTAAATAGCAAATATCAGTGTGTTATAAGGAGGCCTAATTTATGGCAAAGGAAAACTGAAAGAAAGAAAGGTATGTGCTGCATTAAAATAGTGGAGGGGAAGCACACAACAAAACATCATGAAAACTAATATAAATAATTTGATGATTGCTTTCTGTTGTAAACCAAAGAAATATAGGTTTCTAGAGAAAAAAAGTTATGATTTTTTCCACTTTGGCACTAGTTAGGCCTTTAGAGGTGAGATGGTATTAACCCTTTTTGGGGTGTCTTTTTTTACTTTGAAATATAAGTTTTGCATGTACTTGTTGTCTAAGCTAGCTTACTTTCCCAACAGGATAGTGTAAGCAACGCTAACAAACAACAAACTACCATTGTTGTAGTAATTCCAAGATAAGTGTTGTGTAAAGCATCAATTGTGTGTAAATCTAGAGACACGTTTTTATATAAAATAATATAGTAGAGTGACTAAAGTGTATTAGTTGAATAATAAACCCGTCTTAGAGGATTAAATGTATGATGTATTATTACAGATAATTTGGTAACTATATGTTAATTTTTTTCTTTCCAAATGTAACATCAAAATTTACCAAAGCATCCTAGTTTTACTCTTAGGCCTTGTTCTTTTGGACTTATTTCAGTTCACCTCATTTTATATTATTATTATTATTATTATTATTATAATATATTGGATATTTTGATTTATAACACCCCAAAATAGTAGAAAAAAATTGATAATAACACCACAAAGCCTAAAACATTTATTATTATAACACCACAAAAAAAACCCAAAAAGTTAAATTTCACCACCACTTAGCGAATTCTTAGATGAAATCCGTTAGTGGGATCCACTACGTACACGTGTCATTAATGTATTGGTTTGAAAAAAAAAAGAAGAAAAAAAAACCTAAACCCTAACCCAGCTCCACCACCACCACGGGCAACTCTAACCCGTATCGCCGGTAGCCCAACCCCAACCGACACACCCTGCCACCTTGATTGTCAAAACCAGCCCAACCACCACCGCCAAAACAAGCGACTCCACCCCTTCCCCTTTTCTCCCTCCTTGAAAACCACCCCATCTTCTTCGGCCCACCACGCAAATCCACCCCCTTTCCCCTACCCTTTAAACGGCAGAATCAACCATTGAAATTGAAATTGAACATTCTGGGTGATCATTGGCTAGGGTTCTTTAAATAGAATTGGGAGTTATGGAGTTTTTGTGAACTCTAGAATTAAGGTTATTATTTATTGACGCCTTATAACATAAGGCGCATGAAGCAGCCTAGAAAAATGCGCATAGGCATTCACCTTCTTTAGGTCTTTCCGCCTTGCAGAGCTAAGGCACTAGCTCTTGCACCTAGGCACACCTAATGTGGGCGCTTTTTAAAACTAAATTCCTTGCCTCCAATCCACATTGATTTCACCAAATGAAGCAACTAAGCACTTGACCATTGGGGTTATTTTCATGGTTCACTCATTGGTGAAAGGTGTTGTGAGTGAAGAAAAGATGAGAGAGAATGAAAAAGGCCATCCAATTAGGGTAATAGAGGGAAAAGCCGATAATTAGTCTTTTGGTTCAATATGTCTAGATGCTCATCATAATGGTGGTGGTGGAGTAATATACAAAGGTAGTTATGGTATTGTGGCAGTGGATTAGATGTAGGTGGGGTTGGGCTAGGTAAGCGGGTTAGAGTAGTTTTATCTTTTGTCTTTATATCTCACTTCTTAGTTTTCGTGCCAAAAAAGAATGTGTCAACAACGAGGAGTATTTGACACTTAACAACAACCATTAAAACTTATTTTCCATAAAACACTAATTGCAAATTGGTTAATATACCCGAGTTAAAAGATTTAGTAAAATATAAGCAATAACCACTCCTAAGTTCCTTGACATTACCCATTAATCATAACTAAAGCTCATTGTTTTTGAGAGAGTAGGAAGATTTTGGGGGCCTTTATTAGTTATAATTTACACTATTTGGAGGAATAGTGAAATGAAAAGGAGTGGAAATAAAAAGAGGGAAGAGAAAAGTAAGGGGAGGTAGAGAGTGACCTTTCATTTTCCTTCCAAATCTCCCCAACAATTGAGGGATATGGTTTATTAAAATGGGAAGGAAAATGGATCCCTCCATTTCCTTTTCCTTTGCTTACCCTATGTCTTTTATTTAAATGAGGGAAATTATATCCCTGATTACCCTTAAATATTTTTATTCAAACATAGTGTTAAGTAATATCTCCTAATTCAAGTTTATTAATGTCACAATCATTTTTAATAGTGATATTCCTTAAATCATTGTTTTTTTGATATATTTTGTTATAAGGGGTTTACTAATAATAACAATAAAATAAAATAATAAAAAAAATACTTTTATTTTGAAGATTGTTTTTAGCCACAATATTTCTAAAATTGTTTTCAGGGCTCCATCCATTTTTAACTCTTATCTGCTTACATTTATTATTATTATATTTTTCTTACATTCTAAAAATAATTGAACTTTTTCTTATTTGCTTGGGTAGGGAACTTGTTCAATAAGGAAATTCTTTCCCAGTCAATGTGCTGTTTCTACTATTTCATCGGAAGACACAAATAATGAACCGAATCTTGAATGGAAAACAGGTAATATTAACTTCCTGTGTATTGTTTTCTGCATTTATCACTGGATTTAATAACAAATAGCACTGGCACAAACATAAGACAACTTGGAGCAACATATCTTCACCACCTGTTCAAATTCAGTTGCCCATCATTAGCTGTCTGTAAACTTGCCCTTCAGTCTGCTAACATGTGAAGTTTGCTAGGACTAAGCCTATTGGTAATTGTTTAGATCACTTAAGAAGGAAATAAATGGACCGGGGAAGCCAAAAATTCCAAAAATCACGAAGTAACTCTAGGAAACAAATCAACAACTAGTGTCTTAATTCCTACCTTATGTCTTATGTATGTCCCCTCATTAAAAAAAAAAAAAAAAATCTTGTGTATGTATTTTATTGATTTCCATCCATGATCCTTTTCTAATACTTCCCCTGTTTTCTTCCCTTTTTTGGAAGTTCCATAATAAGTGCAACATTACTAGTGAAAATGGTTTATCTCTATCTCTCTCCTCACATATGGGACTAATTCTTTATCTTTGTCTCCTCTCCAAAAAAACTGTACTTCCCCTACATGTTGCGTTTAAGAAAAGAAGTATAACAATGCAACGTGCGTGGGTGAATCTCAGGCAATTACTCAAGTTGAAGATTGTTTAAGATAAATAGCTTAAGCTTCGTACAACGCTAATGGCTTCAGGCCATCACTCTCCAAGTTTCAACATACAATTTTCTGGATATCTACTTCTACTTAGTTCTCTCTATTTATACTACTAGACATGTACTACCACAAATGGCCAAAACCTTAATTAATACTTTTACTATTACTTGTCTACTAGCTAAATTACCACAGTAAAATAAGAGAATAACTCCAAAGTTCCTGCCATTCAGAATACCGTTGCTGCTAGTGTGCTTGTGCTTGCTGTGCTTGTTGTGGTGAATTGTTGCTCTGCTGCAGTGTCTGCTTTTGTCTCCTGCCGTTCACTCTGAGGTTGTGGGCTCATTGCAATACCCTCCCGCAGAAGTGCCACCTTGTCCTCAAGGTGGAAGAAGGGAAACTGAGCGGTGAGTGAAGCAGCATCCTCCCAAGTGGCCTCGAACACCGGCAAGTCACGCCACTTGATGAGTACATCCAGTCCTTCCTTTGACCCAAGCTTCGGCCTACAGTCCAACACCTCTTCGGGCTCTGCCAGTAGCTCCAGTTCTGGGGTAATCTGAGAGGGAATGTTGGGGGAACTTGGCACACTCTCCTTTGCTGGTTTCAACTGGGATACATGAAAAACAGGATGCAACTTGCACTCCTCTGGCAGCAGCAACCTGTAGGCTACCTTGCCCACACGCTCTATCACTTCGAATGGCCCATAGAATCTTGCTGCTAATTTCTCAAAGGGTCGCCTTGCTAGTGACCTTTGGCGGTAGGGCTGTAATTTGAGGAATACGCGATCCCCAACCTGGAATTCCATCTCTCTTCTCCTCAAATCCGCATTAGCCTTCATCACTTGCTGTGCACGAACCAAGTTGAATTTGAGTTCGTCCAACATTACATCTCTTTCTTGTAGAGTTTCCTCCACCCTCTCCATCTCTCTACAGTCGTTTGGTCCAGACCCACCCTCAATAATTTGGGAGGTTCTCTACCATAGAGGACCCTGAAGGGTGACATGTGCGTGGAGGAGTGAACAACGGTATTATAAGAGTACTCGGCCCAAGGAAGCCAAGTTGCCTATGCCTTAGGCTGCTCCCCTGCGAAGCACCTTAGGTATGTCTCCAGCCTCTTGTTTACCACCTCAGATTGCCCGTCGGTTTGAGGGTGTTACGAGGTGCTCCTCCCAAGGTGGGTGCCCTATAATCTGAACAGCTCCCTCCAGAATTTGCTTACAAAAATTCGATCACGATCCGTGATAATGCTGTTGGGTATTCCGTGGAGTCTGACCACTTCCTTAACAAAAATTTCAGCCACCCCTTGTGCCATGAACGGATGACGGAGGCCAATAAAATGGGCATATTTAGACAAACGGTCCACTACCACCAATATCGTGTCAATCCCCTCGATTTTGGAAGACCTTCAATAAAATCCATTGTTATGTCATCCCACACTTTCTCTGGAATTGGAAGCGGTTGTAACAACCCGGCCGACGATTGTTGTGAGTGTTTATTGCGCTGCAGGTAATGCAATTCCGAATGTACTCCGTCACATCGCGCCTCATACCAGGCAGAACCACTCTCCCGCCATTCTCAAGTAGGTGTTGGTGTCGCCGGTGTGGCCCCCCTCCGGTGAATCGTGATAAGCCTTGAGCAAAGTTTCCTTGGCGCTTGAATTTCGGGGAATAATCAGTCTGCCCTTGTACAATAACAACCCATTTTCTACGGTGTACCCTCTGCCCCCTTCACCTTTTTCCACCTCTTGCTGCAATTTCTGAATTGATGCATCTCTCTGTATCTCCTTCTTCCTAGTTAACTCCTTGAACCGCAATTAAGGCCCCACATTCTATTTCGGTCTCAGCTTTGCCCCTCCTTGACAAGGCGTCGACCACCCTATTGGCCACCCCCGGTTTGTATTGCAACTCAAATTCGAATCCGATCAATTTCCTGACCCATTTTTGATATTCCATGTCGACTTCTCTCTGTTCGGTGATGTACTTTAGGCTCTGTTGGTCACTTTGTACAATGAATCGACGCCCCAAAAGATAATGCTTCCACTTTTGAACGGCTAGACAAACCGCCATGAGTTCTTTCTCGTATATTGATTTGTTCCGGCCTCCCGGCCCTAAACACGCTACTGGTTTGCCCTCTTGCATAAACACTGCGGCGAGTTGAGGCATCTGTTTCCACCAGAAACGACTTCTTTAAATCAGGCATTATCAATACGGGCGTGGAGGTCATGGCATCCTTCAGCCTTTGAAACGCCTGTTCATCAGACCACCCATAGTTGTCTTTCTTGAGTTCTCTTAAGGTTAGGCGATTTGAGCATAATGGTGTATGAACTTGCGATAATACCCTGTGAGTCCCAGAATACCTCTCAACTCCCTTAATGCCCTAGGAGTAGGCCAGCTGACCATTGCTCTCACCTTCTCTTGATCAACTGCCACACCTTCTCTTGAGATCACATGGCCTAAGTAGGCCACCCTCTCCATGCCAAACTCGCACTTCTTGAGATTAGCAAACAAGGTGTGATTCTTGAGGGTCGCCAAAACCACCTTCAAGTGTTCTCTGTGTTCCCCTTCACTAGCACTGTACACAAGAATATCGTCAAAGAAATCAAGTACAAATTTACGTAAATAAGGTCGGAATACCTCATTCATTAAAGATTGAAATATGGCGGGAGCGTTTGTTAACCCGAAAGGCATTATGAGAAATTCGTAATGTCCTTCGTGGGTTCGAAATGCTGTCTTGTGGGCATCTTCCGGCCTCACAAGAATTTGGTGGTAGCCGGCCTTGAGGTCGAGCTTCGAGAATATTTGCGCCCCCTTCAATTCGTCTAAGAGCTCGTCTATCACGGGAATGGGGTATTAGGCCCGGTAGTCTACACAAAAATGCCACGAGCCGTCTTTCTTTTTCACCAAAAGCACGGGGCTTGAAAAGGGGCTGGTGGAAGGCCGTATGATCCCTGCTTCAAGCATCTCCCTAATCATCTTCTCAATTTCGTCCTTCTGAAATTGCGGATATCGGTAGGGGTGAACACTTACTGGGTTACTGCCATCCTTGAGAACGATGGCGTGTTCATGCCCCCTTTCCGGTGGTAAGCCACTTGGACTGTTGAACACCACCTCAAATTCCTTCCCTTGTAAAAATTTTGGAGCCTCACTACCTTGTTGCCCTTCTTCCCTTCCATGTGGCTACACTCAATCAGCAGATCCCCCTTTTGTTTTAGTAATGTTTTGATCATAGCCTTCAATGCGAGCCAAACTGGGGTCTCCCTTGATCCTCACGGTTTCACCACAGCCCCAAGCTTTTCGAGCCACTGTACCCCCAAAGTCACATCTGAATTACCCTTGCACTCATCTGAATTACCCTCTTCTATAATCAGATCCTCATTGAGCTTCAATCGTACTCCAAGACATTTCCCTTGCCGTTTTATGGCTTCCCCATTCCCCAAGGACACACCAAAAGTACCCTCCCCGACCACCGGTCTCCTCAATTTTTCCATTGAGCGATAAAAAATTATGGGTCGCTCCGGGATCAATCATCACCACCACCCTCTCCCCGTATAATTCTCCCATTAATTTCATAGATTTTGGGTTAGAAATGCCTACCAGTGAATTCATTGATATGGTGGTCGGACTTTCTTCCACCTCGACCTCCGAGTGCAGTCAGCTCGCCGTTCTCTTCCTCCTCGTCTTCCTGAACTAGCAAGACACTTAACCCCTTTGCCGCGCATACGTGGGTGGGTCCCGTCCAACGTCCGTCACATTTGAAGCACAAGCCCTTGGCCTTCTTTTCTTGTATTTCTTTCTCGGTCAGCCTCCTCACCACCCCACTAATCAGGAAGCACTAGGATTGGTACGGTTTTGGTAGGTTGGTGTTTGGAAATTAACAGAGGACGTTGAGCTTTGAGGAGTTTGGGTATTTGGGTGAGAAGTGTTTTGTGGGTTGGATTTGGCTGGGTTAAAAGGCTGGGTGTTTGTGGGTATGGATTGGGCCGACCCAGTCCCAAATAAGGTAGATGCTGGGCTCCTATTAAAATAGGAGTATGGCCCGGGTTTGGAAAAGGCCCCACCCATCTTCTTTCCCTGGCTAACCCGTTTCCTCTCTTCAACCCGAATAGCTAGGTCCATAGCGTCCTCCAGGTCAGCGGTTTCAACATACGAATCTCCACCCTAATCTCCTCCTTCAGACCATTTATAAATTGGCTTTTCATCAAGCTTTCAGGGACGCCTTTTCTATGAACGCTCGCCGGTAGTCGACGATGGTGGAGGTCTGCACCACCGCCAACCATTGTTCGTGTAGGCTGCCGGCGTTAACTAGTCGGAACTGATTAAGGACCCGGTTCTTGAGGTCCTCCCACCCTATTAATGGACGCTTGCTCTCCCATTGATACCAACGGAGCACATCGCCATCCATTGCAACGACAGCCGCTTGAAGCTTCTCCGTTTCCGATAGCCGGTAGAACTGATAGTACCGCTCTCCCCGAAGAATCCACCCATCTGGGTCAGTTCCGTCGAAGATTGGCATTTCAAGTTTCTTGTACTTCCAACTTCCTCGTCCTTCTTGTTGATCGTGGTTGAAGTTTCCGAACCCTGCGCCGGCGCCGGGATCCCAATTTCCAAATCGGAGTCCCCCGAGTCCACCGGTACCAAGTCCTTCGCCGTGAATCGTCGGTGCCTCTGTTTTTTAGGTTCGTCGGATGCCTTTGTTTTTTAGGTTCGTCGGATGCCTCTGTTTTTTAGGTTCGTCATCAGGGCCTTAATCTCGTCAAAAAACTTATCTTGGTTCCCTTTCATCCAGGCGTTCTGTTGATTCTGGTCTTCTCGGAACCTCCATCCGTGCTTCAAGTTTTTGCCGTACGTCCTCAATGGCTGCTCTGTTATTGCGAGCCTCCTCTTCTTGGTTTCTCGAAAGAACTTGTTGAAGTGAATTTTCGCCCTCTCCGACCTTCTCTAGTATTTCCTCCATTCGTTCTTCTAACGCGGCTACCCTTTCCACCGTAACCGTCGGAGCTGTCGGCGCCATGGTGATACCAAATGCAACGTGCGTGGGTGAATCTCAGGCAATTACTCAAGATTGAAGATTGTTTAAGATAAATAGCTTAAGCTTCGTACAACGCTAATGGCTTGAGGCCATCACTCTCCAAGTTTCAACATACAATTTTCTGGATTTCTACTTAGTTATCTCTATTTATACTACTAGACATGTACTACCACAAATGGCCAAAGCCTTAATTAATACTTTTACTATTACTTGTCTACTAGCTAAATTACCACAGTAAAATAAGAGAATAACTCCAAAGTTCCTGCCATTCAGAATACCGTTGCTGCTAGTGTGCTTGTGCTTGCTGTGCTTGATGTGGTGAATTGTTGCTCTGCTGCAGTGTCTGCTTTTGTCTCCTGCCGTACACCAGAGTGATTGGGGGAGGTTGTGGGCTCATTGCAAACAATAGCTACATAAATTGTAACAATTGATGCATTAATATATCCCTAAACTAAGAAAGGGAGGATAAGAAGAAGAAATAAATGTTTAGGTGCAAAATCAAGTAGGTGCAAAATATTTGATAATGCCTGTAAAAGTCTAGCTGGTTCATGCCTGTACAGATCTGTTGACCTTACAGAAGATGATTCACTATAGATGAGCTCTTGAGATTTACTTCCTCCGTTTCATATTAGGTGACACATTTCATTTAGGAACGTTTGCCAATGCATACTGATGCATATATCCTTGATTACATATTAGCAATAATTATATAAATTTGAATTTCTTTTTTTTTTTTGAAACCAAAAATTTGATGTTTAAAAAATAGATGTTGAGAAAATCTAACAAGACCCCACATGACTGTTTTTTCTCAACACGAAATCACAAAGCAAGTCAAAGCATGTTATTTAAATAGTGCACAAAGTCAAACTATGTCATCTAATTTGGAACGGAGGAAGTATTAAATAGGCCAAGAATATATGAAATGACTAGCGAGGGGCCTTCTGTTAGTAGAGTTAAGCAAGCATAACATGTCCTGCTATTGAAACCTACAGTAATTTCTATCCTTAATATAATGTATTAATTCCTATATAAATATGGTGAGCAGCTCATATGAGAAGTATCTTCATCGTGAGAAAGTTGATGAATCACATTGTGATAACTTTACTAGCATTATAAGTTTACTTCATACATATGCTTACTGTTATCTTATTGTTGGTGATATCATGGTGTAGTAGTTGCTGTTATGCCTCTCTAGTTTTGATGAAAGGGATTGTGTTGCTTCAGAGAACAACTGGAATTCAGAGTCTGGTGCTTTTGTTGAGACAGAAGACAACACAATTATGCGTGACATATCTAGTTTGGATCAAAATGTGGATGAGAGAATATCTCAGAAGAATCAGGTTATAATCTGGTACTTCATTGTTCTTTTTTAACTTGTTCCGTTTTGCAATTTGCTTCAAATTTGGTCAGATATGGAGTGTCTATACAGGTTGATTCTTTTTTTTTTTCTTTTTCTTTTGGTATCAGCGATGATGCGATGCCTGAATGTTAATTATGAATACAAATATTAATCCTAAAATGTTAGGCCCCAAAAATACTATCCTAATCTGGAAATGAGGATGTAAACACAACATATATAATGTAATACTACGTATATCCTTATTTTTCCATGCATGCACATAGACACAATTAGATGTGCTTTTGTCTAGCTAACAGGCTAGGCGACAAAAAAACTTTTTGAGTAACTCTTAACCTTAAATTATTGCTTTAAAGCAAAAGCAGAAAACTAACTAGAGATATGGTAAAGAAAAAAAAATCAGCTGAATACAAATCATTAGAGTAGAATATAGAGCACTAACCATTGTGTTAGTATTTCAGACTTGGGTGTTGCCCATTGAAGAAAATGGCCTAGTAGTTGCTCTTTTATATCTTCGATTCAATTTTCATAGACTGACTCCGATAAATACCATGTTTAAACATTCCCTTAATTGCCAATTTTTTTAACTACATTTTGTAATTACATTTTCCTCCTCTATTTATGTGTAGTCATCGACATAAGTGGAGTAGGAAGGTTTAGGCAAAATTACAATCATTGACACAAACTTTATGAAATTTTGCAATTATTGACACCAACTTATATCACTTGTTGAATTGACACCAATTTGCTACAAAAATTACAAAATTGACATAAATGACACTGAACAACTAAGTTTACGTAACTTTCAACCCTTATACAAGTATAAAATTCCTTCTCAACAATCATTTGCCTTAAAAAGTTCTTTATATATTGGAAAGATAATACTATATAAATCATATGTAGACTATTATTGAGTGTTTAGTGTCTTTAATGTCAATTTTATTCTTTTTTAGACAAGTTAGTGTAAATTTAACAAGTGACACAAATTCGTGTCAATTTGTGCAACATACTCTTAAGTTGGTGTCAATGAGTGTAATTTTGCCAAAGGTTTATGTCGATGACTATACGGAATAATCATATTTGGTTCATGTAGCCGACCCCACTTATGGGATTAAGGCTTTGATTGATTAATTTAAATTTTTATGGATCATAATCTATGGAATATTATTAGATTTTATAATCAAGTGAGAACTTGTGAGGACGCCTACACTTGGTCCCTTATCTTGCATGGACTAGTGATGTATATATAGTCTATGTTTTCAAGTGGGTCTAACTCACATAATTATGGACTTATATACCATAAAGATGGACTAGAGGTAAGGAAATTGCTTTAATCTCCTAGATATTAAATATAATTAATACATACTAAGTGGGTCTAAGCAAAGACCCAATCTCTTCACCATTTCTTTCTTCTCTCTTTTTCTTTTTTTGATAAGTGTTTGAGACGATGGTTCTGGTGTCGATGGTTGGAGGACCTGATACCATAACACTTGTGAGAAACTCACGACTACCTCGACTAACTACAAGCAAGAACATAAATAATACAAAGCAAACCACAAAAAATAGCAAATAGGTCGAAAGGTTGAGGATTGATTAATTGATAGTTGGTAGCTTCAACCTACCACTCTCCAATTAGGATACTTTTCTCTAATACAACAGTCTAATCTCATATCCCTCTCTCTAAGACAAGCATTCTTATATACACAAGTTCAGACCAGCGCACTTAATTACATTTCTCTTTTTTTTACTGCTACTGTCATGTTGCTCCACTGCTTGGTGTTGCTCCTCCTCTATTTCAAAAATTGCATACATTCATTCATCTTGGCCTCATGTGCTGGAAGTGCTTGGGTGTTGGCTGCTTTCCCTCTCCTCTACTGACGAGGCTTGAGTAATGGGCAATTATATGGGTCCATTACACTACCAAAATAAAATTCTAAGCCCATTTTTATATGGAATGATCCACTTGATCAAACTAATTAGATTAATTCTTCATTGAACAATTCGGAATGACTCTTTCAATGCCCAAAATCCAGCTTTGTGTGTGTTGAAACCCTGATAACTTTATATAGATTGACCCTTGATACTGGAGCATCCATGATCAATGTGTTCCACAAATAATGCTTCCTTTCTTGACTCATTAACGGAACTTTCTTGAAATTTCTCGAAATATTCTAAAAGGTTCATCAAATTTTGTGATAGTTCTTTAATTTCTTTCCTAGTAATTTAGCTTGCGTAATTTTATTATTCGACTTGGATTGGGTTTTTTATGTTCAAGCATATTAAATATTGTTAATTTTAAGATTTGTTTTTAGGATAATTGATACGTACTTTGATGGTTATTGCTTATTTTGATTTTTGCCTAGGCCTTAGGAGTTTATTTTAATTGTTAGGATATATTTGTTAGTTTAATTCGGTTAGTAGAAGATAGCTGAACTTTAAAGATCATATTTGCAAAATATTATCTTTACAAGTTAGGATAAATTTCCTATTTAGATTAGAGTTTGTTTTACACGATTTCAGGCTAATAGTTTAGCTTATAAATACGTGGTTAAGAATTAATAAAAATCAAAATCAGATTTGAGTTTTGATTATTATATGAAAAATGTGAGCTTATCTTGTGTTTATGGTTTGTTAAACCTTGCCGTTGTGCTAAACTTTGATTCTTGAACTGAGCTTTCAAGTATCATCTCTCAACCGAGTCTTGGGAGTTCTATCCTTGTTTCATTAAGATTCATTGACTGGTTTTTCCTCAAGAAAAACGAATACATACAACCATAATCGTATAATAAACATATCAAAATCAAAGAAAGCTTTAAAGATAAAGTTTTTTATTCAAGAGACTTAAATAGCTGCGTAAATACGCATTAATAAATTTGATCTATTTTAAAAATTTTAGTTGTTTTAGGAATCTTAGTTGTTTTCTTAACATGTTAGAATTTTTGTTATTTACTTCAAGTTTGTAATTTCTACTCAAGGCCACATATGTCTTTAATATTATTTAGAGAGTGACCAGAGTGTTATTTTGGGAATGTATTCTTTGAGAGTTGCTTATTTGACTGTTAATCAAAAAGTTATTTGTTGCGACTAGGAAGAGACCCTCTATTCTTGCGAGAATTAGAGTTCTATCCTTTAGATTTTCAGTACCAAAGTTTGTTAAATTTGTCATATTAATTCACAAAGCTTCATTTTTGAATCTCTTGCTAATATTTGGATTGAAATCCGCATCAAACCTCAAGAAGGCCCACTTGCTCTTGGGAAATGTTGACTGCCTTTTCTTAATGGCCTCTTCAAATCTGTTTCTGCTTCTTTTACCATATGCTACTGCAGTGCATGTTGGCTTGTTAATTGTTCAGTTACCTATGTTTGGAAAAAGCATGTAGTGAGCTGCTTTCTTGCTCATGAGTCAGAGTTGTTGAAGTTTTTGGATTTGTTTGGGCCGGGTTTTATGTTTTATCTGCTTAAGTATACTCAATAGGGCTGTTTTCCTCATCTTCTTTTATCAATGTTTGAATCTTTTGAAGACAAAAAATCTCTTTTTGTTCCTGCCAACGCCAGCTACCGACCAAACAAAAGTCCTGCTTGCTACTAGCCTTTTATGGGTCAAAATATGTTCTTTGAATACGTTGGTTGGCGATCTTATGATGCAACTGTTTCCAATTGAAAAGGTTTGGCTCAAGATTAGAATCTTTCACCACCAATAACTATGCAATGCGATCTAATCTCATCTCCACTTTGCTCGGATGAACATTTGTCCAGCTCTTATTTCTTCGACTTTCTCCCTTGGCATGTCAAAGCAGCATTGTTCGCCCAAAAGCACATACTTACAAAGCAAAACTAGAGGCTGAAATATACAAAGTAATATAAAGGGCAAAATTCACGGTAATTACTATATTTATCTAATCAAAGCCAAACTAAAAAAAAAAAAAATAGAAGTATACATTATATAAGAATTATTACCAAAAGCTATGGAAGTTATTAATTATACCTTAAATATCTGCTTAACTTGTGTATCTTATTTCATTTCTAATGTTCAACAAAATTCTAATATAGTTATAGAATCTTCCAGGGACAAGCTACTTCCTTCTCATTGTTAGAAAAAGCCACGACATCCTGTACATTGTTGGGCCCAGCAACAAAGCCCTACTCTTTAGACCAAGTAAATGCTGACAGAACATTGCAATTATACAGGAAAGGTTGTCTCAGTTCTCTAGAATGGTGCTCATTCTTACTTCATTGATCACAGTTGCTCCTCTTCCTCCTATTTAATATAATATACTGGGTTGCTACACAGGAAGCAGAAATTGCAGTGACCTTGTTCAAGGTGGGCCACATTACAGGTTTCATGATAAAGATCCTACTTTCGTGGCTATCTCTGGTCCAAAAAGATGGGATCCAGAAGTGAAAAAATCAAAAGCCAAGGTACAACTGACTTGTTTTATTTATTATGTTAGTTTTGATAATTTGATTGTGCTTAATAGTGGCTCATTTATTATATATTTTATCTGAGCTTCTGACGAAGATGCCATGGTTGAGGAAGTGAAAATAACTTTGGTATTTCTGCAGCTGATTGTCTCTGAAAACCACCTACCTCTTTATCATTTGAAATTTACCATAGTCAGGGGGAAGACTTCTTTGTAAAGCTCTGGTTGGCTGCTCATATTTTATTGTGATTTTCTTCCCTTAGTCAAGATTCTCCTAATTTTCCTATTATTACATGGCCTTTTAATTTAATTTTTTTTAATTTAATTTTTATTTTTATAAGGAAAAGTTAGGCAAGCATTTTATTATAAATCGGCAAAGATTTTGCGAGAACGGAGCCATACAGACAAACTCTGAACAACCACGAATATCCCATCTTGCCACAAGGTGGGCTACCGTGTTACTTACTCTCCGAACGTGGCAAAAAATAAAAGCATCAAAAGATAATGATAAAAAACTGGTATTATCATAAATTTACCAATTGGACGAGCGACCTCTAGATGGATCCATTGTTGATTGCCTCTCACACTGAAGAAGAGTCCCCTTCCAACCATAGTCGCATCACACCTAGTCGGCTAGCCACTGGAAGCCCTAAACGTGTCGCCGCAGCTGCCTTGACATTCTCCACTTCTCACACACTCTCAACTCGTCTAACCGCCACCCATACAAGCTCACCTCGTTGGTTTCTCGCTACCGCTCCCAATCCCATATAGGAATTAGTTAGATGGGCGTCGACATTTACTTTTATAAAACCTTTTGAGGCCGTCACGACAACTAACACTTTTTTGGCATACAAACAATAGTCCTCAATGAGCTTTGCATAGCTTGTTGCTGTGTGAGAAGCATTTAGGGACAAGCCTTCATGAACCCTCTTGTTCCTCTGAAACCAAAGCCATATAGCTTAAAGCGAAATGACAGTAGCTGAAGGTGCATCAATCAAAATCCCGCATATCTGGGTCATAATGTGGACCACGTGTAGTATCTTTTGCTAGAGTCCCAGGCGGCCAAGCATCTAACCAAACACGTACAATTGCTTCATTTCCTATGCTCCACCGAAGTCCGTCCAGCAGCAAAGATTTGGAACCCCCCAAGCTATACCAAATGTAACTCGGATCAAAACCTTTATTAGTCTCCAAAACTGAGTTTGCTTAAAATAACGAGCCTTTAGGATTGCGTGGAGTAAAGAAGACTACTGAAAAAAGTCGCCAAATTTGCTTGGCTAGAAGAGCTTGGTTAAAAACTCTAAGGTCACGAAATCCCATACCGTCCATCGATTTCGGCCTACATAAATCATCCCAACTATACCAATGCATTTTCCTAGACGAATTCGAGGAACCCCACCTAAACCGTGCTAAAAGTGAATGGATTTCTTCAATGAGTCTATCCGGAATTTTAAAAATACTCATCATATACGCTTGAATTGCCGGGCAACGACTTTTGTCAGTGTTTTCTTTCCGGATCTCTATAATAATTTCTCTATCCACCCTTGAATTTTCTTCCAAATCCTCTCCTTTAAACCCGCAAAAATCGCCTTTTTCGATTTCCCAATGATAATAAACAATCCAAAATATTCTCATGTTTCTCTACCTCTTTAACTCCTAAAATATCAACTATTTATTTCCTTGTTGTTGAGCGTACACATTTGCTATACACTTTGACCATATGCCTGCTTATATTTGCTTATTAAATCAGCTATCACGGAGCATTCTATAACAGTAGTTCTAGCAAACAGTAAGCAATCATATGCAAAAAAAAATAAGTGCGAGACTCCTGACAGGCTAAAGTCGTATCACCTAATCAAAAGTAATTCCTAAATTCTCTAACTAATGCAGATAGGGAAGCAGGGTCGAATCCACAAGGAAACGAGTCTTTCTATTCCTAATTAATTAATATAATCTAGATTATACAGTAACTAAATTATAGATATGATGAAATTAAACTAAAGGAGATAAAGTAGGGAGAAATCAATTAATAAAAGCCTAGGGTATAGGTTCACCAATAAACAGTATTCTAGGGTAAAACATAATAATCAATCATCAATGCATCAATTAATCAAATCATAAAGGGCTTTCGCTACGTATTACAATCACAGAGTTAATTTACTGGTATTAAATCTCATCTCTCGAATCTCAACTTAACTATTTATAAATTAGTCCGCCTATTGAAATTAAGCCTAAACATTAATTCTCATCTCTCGAATCTCAAATCAATATTGCTAAACTCATACATAATAGACCTGCGCAAATCTAGTTGCATAGCATTAAATCATTCAATAAGAAATTAATTAAGCATTGACAATCAACAACGATTACCCCTTCATATAATTTATGGATCCCCACAACCCTAGAATTAAACTATTCGTGCATAATTAAAACTAAACTAATCAAAGCAATTAAATAAAGCATAAAAAGCAAGAATTAAGATAAAGAGAATAATAGTATTAAAGTAATAAGAAAACAAAATAATAAATGTTGATGTGAAAAGTAGAAAAGAAAACTAAACTAAGAAAAGAAATTAACAAACTAAAAACTAAAAACTAATAAAACTTTTTTCTTCCACGTACTACTACTACCTCTCTTTTATAATTAAGGAAGACTTTCCCACTAAGACTCAGACTACTATAAACTAAGATAAAAATATGAAAATAAAATCCTAACAAAAGTTAAGTAAGCACAAATAAATCCTAAAAGAAGTCTGATAAGTGACAACTACCTCCTAGAACTAAAACTACTACTAACGAGTATAGTCCAAGGTTGCGCCAAATGTCTGCAATATGTGGTTCTTAGCATAAAACCCAAAAACCGTAGGCCCAACTTCACGGAACCATATTCATAGCATACAAAACTTCAATTATGCCCGATTGGGCCTGTAATAGGCAGCGAGCTCGTTGCTTTGCTTCTCCTTGGTTGATCAGTAATAATACCTTGTAAAATCTTGGATCTCTTCCTATCTCGAGCCGTTAATCACTGAACTAAATTTATTTAGAACAACCTTGAGCTTTAAATATACAGTTATAAAATACGATCCGACTCCAATGTATTTGTAGTGGCTTAATAAGCTCGGGAATTATCATAATTCTGCAAATTCCTACAAAATAATACCAACTCTACAAAAACACTAGACAACGTATATTAGTAATAAAAATAGCTGCGCAGAGCTCAAATAACTACAAATATGACTGAGCGGGGAATAAAAAATATATAAAATAGACTAACCTCACTTCATATATTAGATTTTCACGAGTTGCTTTGGATATCAAGGTTGAAAAAGCATCGGCGTTGAGGAAAAACAAATTGGAGAGATGGGATCACCTTGACGCAAACCTTTTGACGGAATAACAGAACCTGAATTTTCCATTGAAAGCAAAAGGAACGCTCGAAAGTTGAACCAATCACCACAAAAACCCATTATGTACATGACTTTTTCAAGAAAGATCCATTCAAACTTCTAGACCATGCCAAACCTGTCTTACCTACACCCCTTTCTCTTCATAGCATGGAATACCTTAAAAGAGACAAGAGCATTATTTGTAATCAACCTTTGCAGAACAAAAGTACTCTAATTGGTGGTAATAATGTCACAAAGAAAAAGTTTCAATTTGTTTGCCATAGTCTTGGAGATAATATGGTAAAGCACATTATAGTAACTAATCAGCCAAAATTCAGTAATATTTTGAGCATTTAAGAATTAAAACAACACAAGTTTTATTGTCCTCCGATAAGTTCACCAATCCATGCCACTAGTTTTTCACAAACCAAGTAATTTTCGGACCAACAATATGCCAAAATTTTTGAAAAAATAAGGCGTGTATACCATTTGGAGCCTTGTTCAAATGCATTTGGAAGAGGGTATCTCTAATATTCTCGTTCGAGGGTTCTGCATTCAAAATATCAATTTTTTCTATATGTGATTACATATTCAATCATCCTAGAGCCTCCTCAAAATTGGTAGGCATTTCAGACCGAAACAACACACGAAAATATTGGACCACCGAGTTCTCTAGATTTACCTTACTTTTGCGCCACACACTGCCATCATCAAGTAAACCCTGTAGTTGATTCATTCACCCTTGCTCGAGTATGCCAATACGATTTCTCCAACCTATGCAAGTAGTCCAACTCCGTAACCAGAGATAAGCATCCATTCAGCATGTGCGCATCTGGAGTTTTTTGTTTTTGCAATTTTTTTTTCGGTATCTTTTATCCTCTTTTTAACATTACCAAAACAACTAGCAACCCGCGAAGAAAGCTTCTATGCGCTTACGGACAACCTTGTTGTTTGTTCACCGTCCTCACTGGATAACCACAAAGCTTCTAACTTAAACATTTTCCCCCTTTCCCCTCTTTCATAGTAGTTGCTAGCCTTTAGCATTTCTGTAAATAAGAAATTTATGAATTTCGAAACAACGGAACAATAACACCACTCTGAATCGCTCGAGAATCTATCAAGACGCTCTCTCAAAAAAATCTTTGGGGAATGGCCTCAATGCCACATAAAACTGTTGCCTCGAAAATTCAAATCTCTCAACCCACAATCATCAATAGCTCCTCCAAAAGCATCCATAAGTTTCTCCTCTCGAGGGATTCCACCATCTTTCTTAGCCAAATTAACAATTTCATTAAAGTCTCCAAACATAATACACAGTTTCAAACTCTCCGACTTCAGATGGGACATCAATGACCAAGTGAGATGTTTATTTTCCCGCCGTGGCCACCCATATACCCCTACACACCTGATTGTTGTTTTGGTCACAAATATCAGCCGTAAAATGATGGGTAGAAACGACACGTTAATATCCCTCCACCAAAAACCAATACCACCTGAATTTCCCACGTTGCTAGGACACACACCCATATAATAATAACTCGGTCGTTACGTCGCGAATCGGCCGAGTTGTAACGGATTTTAAAGGCATTGTTATGATATTTACCGTTTTGTAACGGGCTTTTATAAATCGCCGCATTCTCGGTCGTTTCCGCGGCATTCTCGGTTGTACAAGACGATACAAGTCTAACGCCCGTTAAATAGCTTGAATTCTTGAGTTTGTAGATTTTCATCTAAAATACCATTGGTGTAGCTTGCTGCAACTGCACGATCAAAATTTAAAGAGAGAAAGGGGAAGATAGATGAGAATGAGTGAGTGGAGGCTGGTGAAAATTGATGGTAGTAGAAGATAACTGGCAAATATTTGGTGGTTCTTTCATTTATTTATTTATTTTCTTTTGAGTGGTTAACCCCATGCATTCTCTCTTTTCCTTTGGAAAGGAACTTTACAAATCACTTAATAGGAGTATGTTATAAAAAATACTTTTAGTTCTCTCATTAAAATCTTTATTTGCTAAAATAAGTGGTTTTGATTTCTATTTATTTTGTATATTCATTGAAAATTATTAGGTAAACAAAATATATTTTTAAAAATCAATAATGCTCTATAAGATGAAAAAAAATAATTCCACCGCGACGACCGCGTTCCGGTCCACGAAGAACGATCATTTCTGTTACCACAACACCGTGACTGTTTCCGCGATCGCGACCGATACCGCTTTTTATTCTATGTACACACCATTTACAAAACCACTCACATTACGAATTCTCTGCAAGGCAACTGTGTCTAACATTGTTTCCATTAAGAAAACAGTATTTGGCCTCTCTTTCCAGCACTAGCCTTGCTGTCCAAGGGTTGTCAAGCCCCTGGCAGTTCCAACTTAACATTTTCATGGTTGTTCGAGGGTTTGGTCATCAACAAAACCCTCTACTTGATTTAACCCGTCTCCGGCACTAGAAAAATGCACTTTCAATCTTTTCATCATACATAATACTAGTCAATAAACTGAAAGGTCTCCACATGAGACCTTTTAACACCCCTACTTTCACCTAAAATCAAATTCTCACCGTCTAATATAACACGATCCATATCCCTTTCTCTTGGTAACCTCCTCCACTTCTTATCCCCACCTGGCTTCGAAGGATGAAAATCAGAACAAGACAATTGTTTGTGATACACAAGGTTTGAGAGCAAACCACTTTCTGTCCCCTTTTGAGTAACAATCCTTCCTGTAGGACTCGGGAGCATAATCAACTCTTTAGAACTAGCTTAGGCAAAAGTGGTTGGACATAAAGAAGCACGCAAGACCTCAATAGGTGGATGTGCTTGGTGCTTCGAACCACTAACAGAAACAACTGGACTAAAAGAGGCCTATTCTTCCTGGGGATTTTCAGCTAGGGAACCTCAACCTCACTATTAGAAATACTAGGGATAATCCTTACTGATACTACTGACATGTACCTCGAATGGTATAAATTGAGCTCACTCCCTAGCATTAGACGCTGCAAACTAGTTGACGGAATTTGAAGAGATAACCAGTTGACGGGAAACTTGCTTAACTTTTGCAAACTACAATCCAACTTGATTGGCACTAAAGGGGACTCACTTTTCAGTAAATGAGAAACCTTAACATTTATCTTTGGGTTGGAAACATGTTGAGAAAAGCCGCAGGAAGGGTAATAAAGAGTATCACACTCCTCTATAACACCATTTGAGGAACTATTCAAAAAGCAATTAAGAAAAGAAAAGAGAAAGCAAAAATTCAAACGCTCAAAACACTTTTCAACAGTAAAGAAACACAGCCTATTTGAAAAACAAGAAAAAAACACCCAAAGAAGAAACAAGCTATCCCAGAACACAAACTTTCTCAAAAAATTCAGCAGCAAAGAAAAGAACAGGAAAGAAACCCTTAACTAGACTAGAGAAAACAGGGTAACCACGGAGCAACACAAACCCCGGCAGGACAAAAAAGGAGAAAAATACACTGACCGCTTAGTTTTATGGCAAATGGCAGTTCTTGTTGATTCTCTATTTATACTGTTTGAAGCTCACAGTAGATCTTTTATCTGGGGGTCTACGCTCGACCAGCGAGAAAAAGTGTTTGGCCGAAGCCAAAAAGAGGTTGACCCACTTCATTCGCCAAGCGAATGATCTTCGCTTCGCGGGAGGGGGGAAAACGAAGGGCCTTTTCTGGTCCCCCCTGAGCCGGGGGGTACCGTCATGGTGTGCAACACCAGTTCGGCCGCCGTAACTGAACACGGCGTTGAGGGGAGGAGCAAAGCGTTGAGAGGCGGTTCTCGAAAAAACCAAGTTGGTGCTCTGTTTCCTTTGCCTTTGGTGCTGTAATTTTAGATTGGTAAAGACGAGGGTTTGCAAAAACCCGGTCGTCGTCAGTCTTACGGTGGCTGTAACAGGCGGTTAGTGGAGCAGGGTTTGAGAATTTTTCGCCTCTGACTTGTCCTCTTGACTAGATATATATTTGGGCCCTTTATTACATGCCTTTCTTCCTTTGCTTTTATGTATGATTTGACAGAAATCTATATGTTGGAGTATTTTCTGATCTGCTATGCCATTTTCAAGAGGATTAGGGTGTATGCCTACTTTTTTTTTTTTTTTTTTTTTTTTTTATACCTTTCTGGTTGGTAGGAAATCATCATGTTAAACAGATATCAGTTCATTTCCTGGGTGCTGGGAATAGTAAAAATTAGCCTAGCTGTTTACTTGTGCCATTGAGGGATAGAGCTGTATTCTTATATATATATAAGGCGTAATTCCAGTCCTATGTTCTTGGACTTTAAAGTTGACTGAATCTGAGTGTGTTTGATGTGATTTTGTTTCATTAATTTTTTTCAAGGACCCCTAGTACTTTTTTCTTGTACTCATACCCTGTTTTTCATTGGTGTAACATTGTTAAGTGATTGTTTATCTCTTTAATCCTCGCTGTTATCTCGAGGCTCTCAAGCTTTGTTTTTTCTCTTTGAACCAGGGGACACCTTCAATCTTGAAATTTCTGAAGAGACCTGAACATTCTTGTTCCGAGTTGAAGCATGAACCGAATGGGACACTCCAGATAATCCATATGCCAACGTGTTCAGGTACTTTTTATATTTAACATGTGAGCCATTGCTTGATTCACCAAATTTGCATTGTTAATGTATTTATCTCTATGGGGGTCTTTTAGAGTGTGCGTGTCCTAGTATTTAATCTGTTGATATTTCAGCAGCTCATACTGTTAGGTTGAAAAAGGCTGTAGATTTCTTGAGAGTTACCAACTCATGAATTCTGTACATCACTAATGACAATAAATATCTGAAAAGGCATTATGTTAATCACCAACACCTATGTTGATATTCTGTCCTTCACCTGAACAGTTTGGTTTTGTTCTTTTGTGTTACACTCTAGCTCTGAAAGAGGGATTCTTGAGAGTTACCAACTCATGAATTCTGTACATCACTAATGACAATAAATATCTGAAAAGGCATTATGTTAATCACCAACACCTATGTTGATATTCTGTCCTTCACCTGAACAGTTTGGTTTTGTTCTTTTGTGTTACACTCTAGCTCTGAAAGAGGGATTCTTGAGAGTTACCAACTCATGAATTCTGTACATCACTAATGACAATAAATATCTGAAAAGGCATTATGTTAATCACCAACACCTATGTTGATATTCTGTCCTTCACCTGAACAGTTTGGTTTTGTTCTTTTGTGTTACACTCTAGCTCTGAAAATCCAGTTTTGTAGTATAAATTTTGTATTAGCTTGCTCTAATCAAGAGTGAAACTAATGCGATACTACATATATTTTAGGTGGCAATATGCTTCAAAATACTGAGAATGCTGTAGCAAGGGAAAATTGGAGTTATGATGTAGATGAAATTGATCCAACCATTATAGAGGAGTTACCTGCAGATATCCAGGAAGAACTTCGAGACTGGATGCGACCTTTGAAGCAGCGCCATTCTGCCAAGCGTAGTAATATCACTTCTTACTTTTTACCGTCCAAAGACTCAAGCCAATAAGATGCATTTTTTATCGACTCTTGGTAGGTTTGAGTGAGAGATATCTTGTTTCGGTAAACAAAACTGGTTTGTTGCTGTTAAATAATTTTACTGCAGGTATCGTAACCCTAAGCATACTTGGCTAATTTGAGACACTCACTGTGTAAATAAATCAAAACAAATAGGCGACGGAGGAGATTTTTTACACTTCAGTCACTGAAGTGGCACATACAAGCATAAAAGCGTAAGAGTTTTGATCAATACATTTGAATTTGAAATTGTAAATTATTGTAGAGAAAGCTAACTGTCTTGCTCTGAATTCATATTAGGAAAAGGAAAATTTAACAACAATAAATCAACATTTGCCCCATTCTCTCAAAATGGACCAACCTTTAAATATGTCCAAAATAAACCAAAGTTTGCATTTTTTTTCTCCCAAAATGAACTAAAATGATTGGACTTGAAAAACCGGTCATTTTTTTAATTTTCCTTTATTTATTTAATTAAAAACCTTTAATTATCTTTTTCAAATTAAGAAAATGATTAAAAAAAATAATTTAAAAAAAAAAACCCACTCTTCCCTCACCCCATTGCCAACCACCCCCTCCTTCACCTCTCCTCCTTTTCCGGCCACCACTACCCCTCCCCTTGACCTCCCATTTTCGACCATTCACAAAATCACCACCTTCTTACTTACCCCAACCACAAAAGCACCAACCAAAGCCACCGTACCCCCACAAATCCACCAACCCACCCACATAAGCCACACCACAAAACCACCAATTGACGCACACCATGAAGTTATGAAACCCACCACCGTACCGATGTACCGTCTAGCCCACTTTCATTCCAAAAGAGTGCTAATGTGACGGATTTAAGGCAAATCGTTGTTGATTTGTTGATGAAGAGTTCGATTAGTGTTTGTGAGATTGGTGGTGGAGTTGCGGTGGGAAGAGATGTAGCACGGTAGCAGTAGTGGTGTGGGCTGGTGGGTGGCGATTGTTGTTGAGGTGAGGCAGGGGTTGCGGGTCTTGGCGGTTGTAGCCTTGTAGGTGCGGGCTGCTGTGTGTGGCAGTTGGAGATTGTGGTTGTTGGTAATTGATGGTGTTTTGGTGGCTAGAGGTGGTGAAGATTAGATTAAGGTATGTGTATAGGCGGCGCCGGCGACCGGGGGAGGGGGGTTTTGGGCGTCGGCCGGCCTTGGTGGCAGGGGTCAGGGTTCGAGTGGGTGGTAGTGGGGTGGCTGGCATGTGGAAGGGTGTTTGGCTTTTTTTTTTTTTAATTTCTTTTTTCTTAAATTTATCAAAACTAAAAAAAAAAGCCGTTGACCAATGAGTTAATGACACGTGGATTTGTACCTAGTATAACAAGTAAGGTGACTTGTTGGGTTTATTTTGAGAGAAAAAAAATGCAAACTTTAGTTTATTTTGGGCAGATTTAGAGGTTGGTCTATTTTGGGATAATGGGGCAAAAGTTAATTTGTTGTTGTTAAATTTTCCTTAGGAAAAAGTATATACTTCACAGCCTTGCGGCACATACTTTAAAGTCAAAATTATGTAATTGAAATGGGCTAATTAATCAAATAGTTTTACACACGGTAACTAATCCTTCCCCTTTTCTGGTGTTAAATCACTCGTTTACCTTTATTAATCATCACCTAAAATTGTTTATGTAGGATGTGTTGTAACTTGTAAGTAAATAAAAACAAAGAAAGTAAATATACTCACAAGATTAAACACGTGCAGCTAGATTCACTCCTTAGTACATAATAAATATAAGCCAATATGCAAAACTAATTCCTACATTAATACAATCTACTCAAGTTTGAGAATGCAAATTCACAAATGCCATACACGAAGGATATATTGATATTGTTGCTTTCCAATGCTTTATTATTTGTCACCTATAAATGTGTGTTTGTAGGAACATGAGAAGGATCCATTCATCAATAGTGGTATCCCTTGAGAATTGGCAAACAACCTCAAAAAACTTTTTGCTTTTATGAAAAATACTTCTTCCGTTTCTATTTAGTTGACACGTTTGATTTAGGCACATATATTAAGAAGATGATAGAGAGTGAGAAAGGATGAAAAAGCAAGTGGGGTAACTTGTAAATGCAAGGTAAAAAAGTTAACCCAAAAGGAAACGTATCAACTAAAAAAAACTTCCTACGTGTCAACTAAAAAGAAACGAAGGTAGTAAGATTTTCTCTAAGGAAAGTAATTTAATTATCACAATACCATGGGATGGAGATAAGGTATGCCTAGCCTCGTTTCTGGAAATTTATGGGCTCTAAGCATAATGTAAAAAAAGAGCCCTTTACGTAACAAATTTCTTTTTATACGCAATATCTTTAAATATAAGACAATGAAAATAACTTATATTATTTGAATAGTAAGTCTTTTTACACAATACTGGAGTAATAACTTTGCAAAATATTTCGGTAATTCAATAAATATGAAACGATGCAATTGAAAAGATTAATATTTTGGAGCAAATACTCATAGAAACCAGAAGATTAGAAGAAGAAGTGAAGAGGTAATATTGCATTGTTATCTCCACCTAACTGACATCTAAGTAATTTAATGTTAATTGCTAACTAAATGCAGTAATTATATTTTTTAAAGTAGCTTTTTTTTAAGAGTAAAAACTATGGAGTAAAATTCCACAGCTATGCAAACTGATTTTTTTTAAAAAATTTTGGGCCCTTTTCTGACGTGGACCCTAGGCGGTCACACTCGAGGCCTACCCCTCTAGGCCGGCCCTGTGTATGCCAATACTAAGCAACAAACCTTATATGTGACACGTTTATGAGGTGCGCCATTATACGAGTTTATCTTGTGATGGTGGAATTTTAAGTTTTTCACCATCATCAGATTTATCCTGATTACCATGCATCATGCTTAGGTTGGCTAATTTGGGTTGTGGACTTGTGATGGATGGCATGTGATCTGGGTATTTCTACCCTGCCACATGGCACAATGTGAGCTCGCCATGTGTCACCTGAGAAGACCTCCAAATAGACCTCTTAGAGGCCGATACGTGTCAAGCAGATATACCCTTAGGAATTGGAGGCCTTCAAGGCGTAATTCCCAAAGTAGCCGCAAAACGGCGCATCCCGAATCCCTAGGTAATCAAACCCTAGGGTAGGGCACACTTTTCTAGGATCCTATAAATAGGGAGATTCCCCTATTTATTGGGGCACATCCTAATCATTACATCATTTATTACTTGGGAAGCGCAACTGAATGTCCTGGGAGCGGCACTATGGTAAGATTCGATTTTATATTTTTTATGAAATTCGAAATCTCCCGCGAGCGCATCTCTAGAAGTTGCGCTGGGTGTTGCGCGCAATTGAATTAGTTGCGCGCGCCATACCATCGTGACTTATTGAGATGCGCGTGGCTTTTTCTGCGGCATCATTAAATTTAACCTAGGCGCCTCTAAATCGGTCATTATTGGGTCTTAAGCACGGGCTTAAACCTAGTTATGACCGGGCTTAGTTAATTGGACCTTGTTTTGTATTTGTTTTGGGTTAGGCTAGTCTTTTTGTGTCTTTGTGGTTTAGCCAGTCATCCATAAGTATTCTTCACTTTGATCCAACACGAAGATGGTTTTATTTATAGTCTTTGCACTTCCTATCGAGACAGGAGGTCAAAAGTAGGTGTCTACAGTTAGCCCCCACTTTGATCGAGTCTAGGATAGACGAGGATCAAAGTAGTCAAGGAAATAAATCCGAGACTTATTCTGCGAAGTTCTTAAGGAGTAGAGAATCTTTCAGAAATGTTATGGATGTCGAAACGATCATTGATTCGCTAAGTGTTTGAAACAAGTAGCTATTAAGGCTAGAAAAAATATTTTCTAGTCTTAACGCACTAAAGAATCTATATTGATCCCTTGCAATTGTAGAACACTTTTACAAGTAAAGGTGTTTTGGGTGATGTCATGTCATGAGAAGAGATCGGTTTAAAAAGGATTAAAAGGGGATGATGTCCTCCCAATCATGTCATCGTTGGTCTAAAGTCCCTCGATACATCACTGAAACTTTAGCCTGTGAAAAGATGATAAAAAGAATGTTTCGGCTTTCGCAGCCGGAATAGAGTTCTTGACAATTCGCTTTTCAAAACGCAATACTCGATGTCCATAAGATAGATATACATGTCTCAAGACTGGAGGCATAATCCAAATCCAATGAGAAAGAAGAAAATCGGAAACTCTCTCAGCAGTATTGTCCACAAGATGAGTACATGTGTCTCAGGACTGGGGGCACGTGACTACATAGGTGAGACATCATCTCGTCGGCTCTTCATACATGGGGTGGATGACACCCTAACTGTCCGGTAAGCTAGTAAGTGCACTAACTACCGTATTTCTTCCAATCAAGAAGTGTCTTTTCATGAATGGTTCGGGGTGCCTGTCGACTCATGAGCTAACGCCTAAAGAAAAGTGATTCTCTACCTTTTAGTTCCGAGAGGTAGATCTCGCAAAGTTGAGGAAGAAGTGAAATTTTACGCAATACCTACGCCATACAATTTTACGCTGTATGATAACGCCTTGTATTTTTACGCTGCATGATGACGCCTTCCTTTTTGCTGTGGACGTGAAAAAAGAAGAAAAACCGGAATTTTATAACGTCAGTATAGTAAAATGACAAACCTGTCTATGGGAGCTTTTACGTAAAGCACCACTACAGAATGTCTTAAGACACTTTTACGAAAAACGTTCAAACGGTATGCTTAGGGAAGGCACAAAGCATGGTGTGCATGCAGTATGATGCAAAAAACTATCAATGAAGAAAGCAAACTACAAAGTGCAAAGAAATTTAAAAAGATTTTGATAATTTGCGCGCCATTACGTCTAATAACGAGCAAAAACCGTTGAAAAAATAATCAAACAAATCAAAATCTAGATAATGGTCATTTTAGTGATCAGTATCCGCGCGCAACTCAGTGGGTCGCGCTGGCCAGGCGCGCGCATCGTTCTAAGTTGTGCTGGTTCGTCACGCGCAACTGTTTCAGTTGCGCGCGACATTTAAGTCAGCAAAAAGAAATCGCTGTGCGCGATTTTCATTTCGCACTCTTCTTCTTCTTCCTTCGCCATTTTCGTTCCTCTCTCTCTCTAAGAAGCTCGGATTTTGCTATTTTCGAAGAAAAAGGAAGTAGATCTCACCCTGAATTGACATTTTCCATAATCCAATCAAGTTTTTTGTTTAAATTCGTTTGTTCTTGGCTAAATTTGGGTGTTTTTGAACCATTAAACCCCAATTTTCGAATTTGGGGGTTTTTGATTAAACCATTATTCTTGAAATTGTTTGTTCCATGTTATTATGCTATGTTTAAGGAGTGTTTTGCAACAAATTTCATGAAAAATAGTTAAGTATTGAACCTTGTATGAGCATTTTTTCATTTAAGTACGTTTTTTTGCACTTTTCTTCGAATTTGGTTTGTTTCTTGTTATTTTGCTTGCTCATTTTGGCTATACTTGTTGATTAAGAAGTATTTATAGTATTAGAACTAATTATATCTTCATAAATAATGTTTTGAAAATTTTGAATCCGAAAATTGGCGCGAAGTTTGCACTTAACTTATTTTTGCCATGTTCGAACTTCAAGATTGTTTGGTAGACGACAATTGCATTATTGTTACTTATATTTGCCTAGGCATAGTTGATTATTTGAGATTTCGGAATACAATCCCTTGAATACTTAGTTGAAACTAGTATATGATGGATTTTATGGGTGTTAGAAGCCCTAATTTACTGAGTTTAACTCCAGGTATCGTAGCCCCCTAGTATGGGTGGCATTCAATTTTTGTGTTTTGCCCTTGCGGTAGCCGTTATGCTTCCGAAATGGGTCCAGAACATGTTCGTTAACTTAGTTTAGAAAATTAAACTAATAAAGAATTTTTATCCATAGCATGGATTCACCCCCATTCGTCGATGTCGAGGAGATTCTGGGAGATCCCGTGCCTGACGAGGTGGGTTCGCCCTCGAAAGAGGGTGACCCGTCCTCGTGAAGAGGTTTGGGAGCGATGCGTCGGAGCTGATCGACGTCGCCAGGAGGATGTGGATTGGGAGGCTCCTCCCAACTGGGACCCTAGGGTCCTTAAGTGGGACCCAAACCATCACGTCTCGATCAGGGGTAAGCGCGGCATTGTGAGTCCATTGCGCCTCCGTTTTTTTTTCTTTTTCTTCGAAACAAGTTATAACCACATTTTTACTCTCTTTTGTGCCATTCTTTTTTTAGAGTGAGCCTAGCATGCGTCTATATGGCTCTGGTGATCTGCGAGGTCGTTTTGAGAGTTTACCCAAGGAGGTGAATGAGATTGTGGAGCTTTCGGGGATTAGTTCCCAGCTAGCGGCTCTTTGAGATTTATCGAGTCAGCCTTGTTGTCGGCTTTCCCTCGTGGCTTGTTGTAGTTTTGGTGGGATTCCACCAACACTTTTCACTTTCCATGGGGAGAGATGACGGTTACCCCTTACGATTTCTCTATGATTATGGGTTTTCCTTTTGGAGGTGAGCCTGTAGCTATGGAGGTCGTCAAGGGGGTCAGACGAGAGACTGCGTGACCTCGTGGGGGACCGTCTTGCGGCGGCCCTTCACATGTATGTGCAGTCTTGTCCGTAATCGGTTCTTGTCGATGAGTTGTCGGCTGACGAGGTTGATCGGCAGTGTACACCTGAGCAGCTGGCTCAGATTTACATTGCTCATGTTCTTTCCGTCACTATCTTGAGTGATCGGGGAGAGCGTTTCGGTATTGGGTTACTTATTTGCCCCAGTGATTTGGGGCAGGTAGGTAACTTGAGTTGGGCGGAGGTTTCGTATGCATGTATGCTTACAGCTATGGGCAAGGCGACCCGGGTGATGGATTGCGCGATAGCTACTGAAGTGCCTCAGTTCTCCCTCACGTGGCATGGTCGTATTCTTGAGGTACGTACTTATCCTTTAAATTTTCTTTTAATCGCCATTTTTTTCTTTTTCTTATTATTTTTCGCTTCTTATAGGCTTGGAGATATTTGTACCTGCCTTTCTTAGCCACCAGGACGCTCGGGGCTGCTCGCTTTTCTATCGGCCATCAACTGGTCACGATTAAGAAGAGGCGAGCCACATTAGCCGGCAACTTTCCCAGAGGATTCTTTCTGCGACTCGTGCGTCGGTGAGTATTTTAATAGCACATGTGAGTCTTTTCTTCGATTATTATTATTTTTTGATGATTTTCATGTGGCTGTGTTTGTAGATCGATCTCCGTCCTTGGAGTTTGATCGTCGGAGTCCCTGAGGCTGTCTGGTCTGGCATGATTCGTTGCCATTTCCGAGCCCTTTATTAGGGGCTTTCAGTGCTCCAAAGGATAGACACTTTGTTTTTAGGCGAGCGTGTTCTCTGGCAGTCTTCATCCGAGGAGCCTGCGGTTCCTGGGGATCCTCCAATCCGGATGTTGCGTCCGGACTTGCTGTCAACCGAGGATCGAGCTCAGACGATCCTCAGTTATCCAGCGAAGCTGCTGGTGCTGCCGGATGCATCTTACCAGGCTTTCATCGCATCCAGGCTGACTCCTTTCTCAGCTTTTGTTTCGGTTAGTATTTTACCATATGTTTTTTATTTTATTTTCGGAAACTTGACTCTTTTATTGCGTTTTCAGCGAGTCAAGCTAGGTGGTTGGGTGCCTCCTAATGCGGAAGTCACGTATACCGATGCCTTTAGATCGGTAATTCGCGAGATTCTCCCAGCAGCGGAGGAGGAGGACATACCGTTTATTCCTTAGACGGTTGAGTCGGTATGTTTATTTTATATATGTGTTTGTTTTTATATTTATTTTTTCATATACATTTGTTCATTAAGTGTCCTTGTATTTGGAATAGGTACCCCGGGAGACCGTGAATGACATGGTGAGGGCTATACGTGCTTTCCGAGCTGCTTATCGGAGAGCCCTCGTGGCTTTATCATGTCGTGATCATCAAATGGTTCGTGGTAAGTTTATTTCTTTTTCTTTTATCAAAGTTATTACACAGTTTGTGTATTAATCTTTGTTTAGATTTTGCAGGATGTACAGCAGCCGTTCGGGAGTCGTCGAGCATCCTGACTTTTTTAGTATTTTTTTTTAAACATATGTACATTGAGTTGCGCGTGCCACTTGCGGGTGAACTTTCCTTAGAGCGAAAATTGCCGAAATTTGGCCCCTCTTGGGTTTATTTAAGCGTGGTTTTGTGTAGGCTTTTGATCATCTTACATTCATTCGCTTAGTAGTGCTATAAATAATTAAAAAGAATTAAACTCTCTAAATTCTTTCCCTCTCTCTCTCTCTCTCTTTTTTTGTTTTTTTTTTTGTTTTTTTTAACATATTGATCAATGGCAACAACCTTTGAACAACGGTTGAAGCAATGGGTCACTTTCCTTTTAACTGAGGATAAACTAGCCTTCAAAATATACCACCTTGACCCTCTATTGAGTTATATGCAACTAGTTATAAACTTTGATTTTCTCCATGCTGCTGTCAATCATTGGGAGTCGAACCACCATCTCTTTCTTTTCAAAGGGGATGACATTGTCCCATTACCTGGCGAGTTTGAGGCTCTACTAGGCTTCCCTAAAAATACTCTCCCTGTGACATATGCCCCTAGCTTGTCAGATCCCAAACCTGCATTTGAAAGATTTTTTGGTTTGAATGACAATGATATGGTTAACATTGGAAAAGAAGAAGGCGTGGATTTAATTCAATTTATTGAACATTTCGTCGCCCCTCGTGACAACTTGACTAAACAACGTTTTAAAATTCGTGCTTTATATTATTGTCTTCTTGTCAATTGTTTACTTAGGACAGGTAAAGAATACAGAGATTATTCCATGGTGTCCATAGTAGAACAAATAGAGGGATGTCATTCACCCGCTCCTTTAGCTTTGGCGGAAACCGTTCTATGCTTGAATTGCCTTAGAGGAGACCCTAACGAGAATGGTTTCACGGGAAGTCCACTCGTATTACACGTACATTTTTTTTATTTTACCGTCGTAAAACAGCGCAAGTAAGGAAGTGGCACTTGCATGACTAGCGCAATCTTCTCCGATGCGCGCGGATGGAGCGCGCAACTGATTTTGATGTGCACGCCACCTGCTCGTGTTATGTGCAAACTAATTTTTTTCGTCTTTCTTTTTTTCTTATTTTTTTTCCAGATTTGGCTCATGGAGCGTTTGTGAATTGCTGAACAGCCACAAAATTTTGAGGCTAATGAAGTGAAAACATTCCCTAGACGTCAAATTCTCTACAAACATAAGAATGAAGAAGAATGGACGTCGTTTTTCTGTCATGGGGTTCCCAACATACGCTTTGTGATTCCTTGGTGGAACATAAGTAGTATGGTTTGGAATAGTTTTAATTGTCCCTATATTAGGCTTTTAGGCCTATCTAATACTATTTACATCTTTCCTTACAGGGTGATGAGACAATACGGAATGAAACAAGTTATCCCCCCTCAAGATTGTGATGCCCCTAAAGATGTTATCTTTAAACCTGAATGGATCCCTCGTTGGATGGAATATTGGTCAAGTCTCCCTAAGAAAGATGGGTAGTACAAATTCTGTAACACCCCAATAATTCACTCTTTAAACCCGTGAGGACCCTGAACAATATTCAAGAGAATTACTGGCGTGCTACCGCCACGTGTTCAAACGTTAAGGCTTTATCAGAAAATAGCAGCGGAAAAACTAACTCAGTTATAAATAAGTTTTAAAACCAATAACCAAAACCAAATTAAATCTTACAACTTGGAACCATTAAGGCCCTTATTCAAAACCCAAATTAATTAAAATAGTATAAAATGATATTGAGTTTAATGAATTCAAAAGTAAGTAGCAAAATAAGTAGTGAAAAGTAACCAACACTCCTCTCAAAATCCTACAACCTTGATGCGAATGCTGAATGTGTAAGAACCTGTGGTCAATCTACTCCCCAATATTACAGTGTAAAAATTGGATCGTCACAGGGTCATTGAAAGGCGAAGGTCATGACCAAAGAAAGACACACACAAAGCACGTAATCAGCAAAGCTGAGTACATACAAGCTGCGAAACAAATAAGAAATCCATAACATGCTACTAATAATCAATCATCATGCATCATTAAATTATAGACTCAACACACGACTCATCTATCAATTTTATTAAGACTTCACTAGTTGGTAGTAGCTAACTCATATATTTATTCATTGGATTAAGCAATAGACAAGGTGGTCCAACCCATGCTCCATTTGGAACATCAATAAAAGAAAAACCCCATGCCTCCTTTCGGAAACATCAATAAACATCCAACGACCACGGGCACGACTTCGTGACCGTAGTTAGTATGAGATCTCATCTAACTCCTATTTTTCGAAAATTATTTGAAATAAGAGACTCGTAGATCAGACGGCCTCGAGAAAAGTGCACGGCTAATACCCCGTGTACCCCAACCCCTGATTGTCATTACTCCAGATGTGCCCAAATCTAGAGTTTTATTGCTCATCCATCTTACACTTTACGTGATTTACAAGTTTAGATTGGTGATGACTCATATGAAAACAATACAATTAATCCAATATCAATTTAATCAAGTAAAACAACTTTCCAATTTCAATTCTTGTTTTATTGGTGACAAGCAACATTTATTATTTATTCCTTTAATTATCTCGGTGTATAAACACCTTGAGTGCATAAGGCACATCAAAACCTTAACCTCGTCTCATAAGACTTGAATTCTTCCTTTACTCATCCTATTTCAATAATCATGAATGAGTAATAAAAAAATCATTCCACACATTCAAATACCTTTGCCTCTAAGCGCATCTTGCAAAGTTAATGCATAAATAATATTTACAAAGTAGAATAGTGCACATCATACGGAAATCACAATGTATAACCAAACAATCATTCCCAGTCTTCTCTATAAATGATACTAGGTTCTCGTTACGTTCCTAAACATGCTTCTAAAGGCAAGGTTTCGTAATTCATACGTACCTTGAATAAACAAATTGGTTGGCCACTTTACTATCTAGAAATCACCTTAAATAAACTCCTCTCCTATACCAAACAATAACATCTCAATCAATACCCAATCAATCAAATTTACAGCAATAGTAACTTAGTTTAAAACCTTCAAAATCCAAATCAAACAACACTTTAAAACCTTCCCTTTAGTTAAAATTAAAGGCTTATATATAGTTCTTTAAATTTTCTTCATAAAAACCTTAAAATACACTCTTATACATGATATAACAGCAAGTTTAAAGTTTAATAAAAATCTTAAAATTATTTAAAAATCCCTAATAATCTCCCTTTTTAATGGGTCATTACACCTTCTTTATAAAACATCAAAAGTAGTGCTTAGAAACTATTTCCAGCACTTAAAACATCAATAAAAACATATATTTATGCTTAATTAACTTTAAACATAATTAATTTTATTAATCAAACTAAAGGATAATATTTTAATTATAAAAAGACTTCGTTAAAAATAAAAAGCTGCACGAAATTCATATTTAGAGGTTGAATTTGGCCACGAGAGGGTGGTTCTCACTACCATAGGTAGTGAATATTTCTTAAAACATTGTTTCCACATGGAAAACACTACTTTTGTATCAAAACCAGATGAGTTCAGAACCTGATCGGGATTAAAACGAGATTAATATTAACGAACGGAAATCTAAAAATTAAAACACGAATTTACGTGTTCAAAATAATATGGAATTAAGTTAAACTAATCAGAAGTTATAATCACCAAAATTTTAAAACATCATTACTATAAAATCCCTAAATCATTTGTTCATAAAAACCCTAAAATCATGATTTTTCAATAATTAAAAACCCAAGGTTATAAAATTTACAAAATCTGAAAATTATGACATTTATAAAACCTAAAATTATAAATTTTAATCATCAAAATACAATTTGATACTAGTTAAATTAATTTCAAACAATAAAATCAAAACCCATAAATCAATAATTATAATTACATAAATTAATAAACAAAGGAGAAAGAAAATAAGACTAAACTTTTTGTGTGGGAAATTTTTGGCGATTAATGGGGTATTTATAGGAGAGAATTGTAGGGTAAATAGGAAGATTGGGGCTCATAAAAATAATGGGTCAATTAAGTAAACAAATGGGTTAGACTTGTTTGATTGGACATAAATTGTACAATAAAGGTGCATAAAATAATTTGTTCAAATAATTTTCGACTCGGATTAATAATTTGAAACTTTTGAAATTAAATTTCGGAAAATAACAAATAAATATTATAAATAAAATAAAATTTCATTTATAAAATATTTAAAAAATATGGGGGGTTACAAGGCTTGTGTTATCCTCCTTCTACAAGGCTTGGATGAATGCGGCGGACAAGGGTGAACTAAACAGGTCTAGATCACACAATCAAGCCGCCTCGGCTCGCAATCCACCCAAACCTTTGATGCATTCGGCCACCACTACTCCTCCTAGTGGCCAAAACAAAGGAGTGAGAAGAAAATTAGACTTCTCATCTCCTAAGGCTCGTTCAAAGGAACCAAAGAGAAAGGCTCCCTCCTAAACCTGCGCAACCAGGGGTGAAGATTAAAGAACCTTCACCAAATACTCGCAAGAAGACCCCAACAATTGCTAAAGGAAAAGGAAAGCAATATGCAAAGACCCCAATTCCTAAATTGAATAACAATGTTTGGGTTAAAAAGAAGAGTGAAGGGGAAAGCTCTAAGGTTTCTGAAACTACTACTGCAATTGAAACTACTCCTCCGTCGACTATGACGATCGAGGATAAATACTATGTGTTTTTTAATTTATTATCTAGTTCAACAATGCCTCTTTTTTTTTTGAATTTTGAATGGAATAAAATGAGCTTTATTATATATATATATATATATATATATATATATATATATATATATATATATATATATATATAATATATATATATATATATATATATATATATATATAGGGGGAGGTTCAAGTGAGAACCTTTCTTAAAATAAGAACTCAATTTAAGGTAGGAACTTTCAATACTAGCCATTGGATTAAAATGTACGGCCCATATTGAAGGGTTTACCCCATATAAAAACTTTAAAAAAATCAGCCCCTTCCTCTCTTTCTCTCTCCTCTTGAGTTCTTCTTCCTGGTTTCTTCTTTTTCCCGTTGTTGATTAATGTTCTGCTTATGATGAACAATTCAACCAATCTCCATTGAATATCTTCCTATCAGGTTTGAATTTGGAATTTGGGTAAGTTATAGAACATGATGGGCACTAATTTATTAATTACGAAACTAGCTAGATAATTAAACATGAATTGTAGGGTCTGCCTACTACTGTAACAATTTTTTAATTGTAAAGTGGTCCTTTTATTAATTAATAAGTTGTCTTTGTTTATTAGTTTTATTGTTTTATTATGTATTTTTATTTAATTTGATTGTTTAAGTTGAACTTATATTCCACATGCCATTTTTCAGATTTTAACATGGACCATTCATATTCCAATGGTGAAGAATCTGGGAGTGGGCCTACAGAAATTGAGCATTCCACTCCTAACAGAGGAGAAAATCATATGGAAATTGTCAAGGAATGGGTGCCTATGTGTGAGGATGAATTGAAACCAAAAATAGGCATGGAGTTTGAAAGTTTAGAGGAAGGTGAGAAATTTTATAAAAACTATGCTCATCATGTTGAATTTAGCGTCCGTAAGTCATCTAATAAAAAGGGAGATAATGGTGAGAACAAATATAAGAAGCTTGTTTGCTATAAAGAGGGTTTCAAAGTACCATCAACGAACGGGAAGAAAAAATTGAGGAAGAGAAAGTTGACCAGGGAAGGGTGTAATGCCTGGGTGGGATTTAGAAAAAATATCGGAGGAAACTATGAGATTTATAAATTTTATGAAGGTCACACCCATGTCCTCGCCACTCCTAGCAAGCGTCACATGTTGAAGTCAAATAGAGAAGTTACAAGTGTGCATAGATGCTTGTTTAAGTCATATACTCGGGCTAATATTGGAGCTAGTAAAGCACATCGTCTAATGAAGGAGCAAGTAGGTAGTTTTAGGAATGTAGGATGTAGTAAGCAAGATTTGAAAAATTTTCAAAGAGATCTGAAAGTTTATATTAATGATGCGGACTCAGACATGTTCATTCAAAATTTCAACAGGAAGAAAAAAATTAATCCATCATTCTATTTTGCATATGAGGTTGATGATGATTTGCATTTAAAAAGAGTGTTCTGGGCCGATGGCATTTGCAGGAAAAATTATGCTTTGTATGGAGATGTAGTGACATTTGATACTACATATGATACTAACCGATACAAGATGATTTTTGCTCCTTTCACTGGGTTGGATAACCATAGACTTTGTGTGTCATTTGGTGCTGCATTTCTTGCGGATGAAAAAACCGACTCATTCATATGGTTGTTTGAAAAGTTTTTGGATGTTATGGGAGGTCATAAGCCTGTTTCTATCATCACTGATCAGGATCTTGCTATGAAGGCAGCAATAAGACAGGTATTTGACTCATCCATTCATAGATTTTGCATTTGGCATATAATGAGAAAACTTTCTGAAAAGGTGGGATGTTCATTAAATAGTGATGATGATTTTAATACTCAATTCAAGTCATGTGTGTATAGTTCAGAGACTTCAATTGAATTTGAGGAGTATTGGAAATTAATTATTGAAAAATATAAACTCCAAAATAATAGTTGGCTATCACAGTTATATGACATTCGTGATATGTGGATTCCTGCGTACTTTAGAGATTTGTTTCTAGGAGCTGTTTTGAGGACAACATCTAGGTCCGAAAGCAAAAATAGTTTCTTTAGTAATTTCTCAAATCCACATTTGAGTTTAGTGGAGTTTTGGATGAGATACGAAAGTTCTATTGAGTTGCAAAGGTACAACCAGTCCATAGAAGACAATGTATGTCTTCTTCAAAGCCTGAGTTGAGGACAAATAGAGATTTAGAAAGGCATGCAAGTGAAATGTACACCTTCTCAAATTTTTACAAGTTTCAAAAGGAGTTTTGGGGAGCTTGTATGGATTTTGAAATTGAGGAAAAAAAAGATGTAGATGAAGGGCAATTGATAATAATTGCAGATGTAAGCTACAAGAATTCCAAGACAAGAAAGATAATTTATAACCCTTTAAATCATATTGCTCAGTGTTCATGTAAGATGTTCGAATGTGAAGGGATCCCATGTCGTCATATCTTGTGTGTTTTAAAGGGAAAATGTCTACCTGAAGTGCCAAGCTACTATATTTTGAGAAGATGGACTAAAATGGCAGCAAGCAAGCCTATTTTTAATTTGGATGATGATGTTGAAGAAGGGAATTCACAAATAAAAAGTGAAGAAAAATTAATTTCAGATAATTGGTGCAAATTCTTAAATTGCATGGATATAGCAGGAAGGGACCCAAAACAACTCACTATTGTGTTGAAGGGAATTGAAAATATCTCGACACAATTAATAGAGTTAAAGGGTAATGTAACCGAAAGCAAGACATATGAATTAGAGTCTTTTATAGGATTGTCTGCTCCGGAGGAAGTAGAGATACTTCCACCCAAACAAGCCAATACCAAGGGAAGTGGAAGTGGAGGTGGTAAGAGATTTAGAGGAGGAAAGGAAGTGTCAATGGAACAACAAGCAAAAAAGAAAAGACATTGCAAAACATGTGGAGAACAAGCTTACCATGATAGTCGGAATTTCCCTACCAAACAATTATCTTAGGTAAGGTATTAAAATTTGCTTATCTTGTTTTCATGTGGTTATGTTGTTACTTATTATATTTTATATGCTCATGCTGTTGTTTTTGCTCGTGTTGTTTCTAGTGATTTTGCTCGTGCTAGTGTGTGACTTGTGCTGCTGTTTTTGGTCAATGGCGCATCATTACATTGAAGATGAAGATGTTGCTGCTTTTTCTTGAGCCTTATTATGCAGATGTTAATGCATTTGTCCACTTGTATTAGACTTGTTCTTGTTATTCAGATACATGATTATAATTTTTTGTAAAACTATTAATGTCATATGTTATTAACTTATTATCACAAGTCTGATGGTCTAAATGCTTTTACATATCATTTGAGTAATACTTGAACCTCTTTTAAACTAATTTTATCTTTACCCATCAATAACTAACCAAGATATACAATAATAATAACCATAAATATTAGGCTATGTGGGAGTTGAACCCACACCTCGTGTACAATAACACACATTGCTCTACCATCTGAGCTAATAGCCTATAAATTAAAGAGATTGAAATATAGATTATACAATCAAATTAAATTTGTAAGCAATTTTCATTTGTGGTAAATTGACGTTTGTGAAATAAGTGCAAAAAAACTCAGAACTCATTCTACTAATCTCCTTTAATAATGACAAAAAGTGCACAAAATCATCTAAATTGTTGACGCAAAAACAATGTTGTACAAATTGATATGATGATATCATACATTCATACCCCCGAATTATAAGATTGAAATCGAAAGATCTAAAAGTACCTGAGAGTTTGCTGCTCTTCATTCATACACATTACTCGATTTCGCTATAATTAGATCTACGAAATTAAAATTGCCGAGCCATTTGGTTAGAATAATATTGTGAGAAAATGGAGTAGAATATCTATAATCATGTATATTAAAGAAAAATTGAACCTTTAACAAAGTTTTTGAACATGAAATAAAAGAACATGAAGAAGAGCTTAACCAGGAAGAAGAACTCAAGAGGAGAGAGAAAGAAGAAACCAGGAAGAAGAACTCAAGAGGAGAGAAAGTAGAAGAGGAAGGGGCTGATTTTTTTTAAGTTTTTATATGGGGTAAACCCTTCAATCTGGGCCATACATTTTAATCCAATGGCTAGTATTGAAAGTTCCTACCTTAAATTGTGTTCTTATTTTAAGAAAGGTTCTCACTTGAACCTCCCCCTATATATATATATATATATATATATATATATATATATTTTTTTTTTTTTTTTTTATATGACCGAATTATAAAGATTGCCTACGTATTCGTATTACGAAATCAGGTCTTTGCGTAGTTCTTTGCAATGTATGTATTATTATAATTTTTTTTTTATTTTTCTTCAACCTATTATGTAGAAATTAAATGAAAAATTAATCAAACTTTATTTAGTAACTTAAATCAAAGCTTAATTTTTATTTTTCGAATATATGTTATTTTCGATAAACGCCCCTTTTTATATCGCAAGTAAAAATCGCAGTTTTATTCTCGTGCAAAAATTTTGGGTTCGCAGTTCGTCATCAGGTGGCGCTCGCAACATCTAAGGGAGTGGAACAGATTCCATTGCGCGTGACATCCGCGCGCAACTGTTTTAGTTGCGCGCAAAACCTGTGCTACGAATGTTAAATTTTTTTTTCACATTATTACCCCCCAAGTGTTAAGAGTTTTTTGTGATGTTCGAAAAAATCTGAACACTTGATTGGTCTATGTTTAATTTTTTAAATTACCCCCCAATTGTTTTGAACTTTACCGTGTTATTCGTTAAAGTGCGTAACACTTAGAATATTTTAATTGAATGCTAAAGAAAATGATTTATTTAATGAATGAACGAGTTTATCCGGATTTCATATGTAATATTTTTTAAGTCGATCAATGTTTATTAATTGGCGAATTTCATCACCTCCAATATCCATTAATCTGACAGCTCCTCCTGATAGAATTTCAATTACGCGGTAGGGTCTTATCCAATTAGTTTTGAATTTCCCTCTTGGATCGGTTTGTGGAACCCTAACCTCTTTTAGTACAAAGTCACCTTCTATGATATTTCTGGGTCGTACCCTCTTGTTAAAATGTCGTGCAATGCGTCGTTGGTAGACTTGTACATGATGCAAAGCTCTTAATTGTCGTTCATCGAGGAATAAAAGCTCTTCATACCTTGCTCTTACCCATTCATCTTCCAGCAGCTTACTTTCGAGTATGATGCGTAGGGATGGTATTTCTAGTTCGACTAGTTGAACTGCGTTCGTTCCAAAAACTAAGGAGTATGGAGTTACTCCTATTGATGTTCGTATGGACGTTCTATAACCCCATAGAGCGAAGTGTAGTTTATTCGGCCAGTCTTTATAATTTTCTGCCATTTTCTTAATGATGACTGGTATGTTTTTTTTTGCCGATTCTACAGCTCCATTCATTTGAGGTCTATATGGAGATGAGTGATGGTGTTTTACTTTATAACGTGTTAAGAGGGTCTCAATTTCAGCTTTAAATTGAGATCCTTGATCACTAATTAGTTCGTGTGGAACTCCATATCTACAAAATATGTTTATTTCGAGAGACTTTGCGACATGTTTAGAAGTGATATTCACGTAAGAAGCAGCCTCAATCCACTTGGTAAAGTAATCAAAGGCTACTAATACGTACTCGTGCCCTCCTGCTCTTGTTGGAGAAACTTTTCCAATTATGTCAATTCCCCAAGTCGAAAAAGGCCAAGGGGAAGTGAGATTGTATAGTACGGATGATGGAAGATGTTGTAAATTAGAAAACATTTGACACTCTGGACATTTTTTTAACATATTGTATGCAATGATGTTCCATAGTGGACCAATAATACCCTTTCGTGAAATTATTTTAGCAAGCATTTTACCATTCATGTGAGGTCCACAAACACCTTTGTGAGTATTTTCCATAAGGTGTGTGGATTTGGGTTGGTCTATACACAATAAGCTTTGACCATTAGGTCCTTTTTTGCATAATTGACCATTTAATAGACCATATTGGGCCGCAAGTGTTCTTAGGGCTCGTTGGTCTTTCGATGAAGTATTTTCAGGATATGTGCCATGGGTAATATATTGGAAGATATGATCATACCAAGGATTGTCTCCTTCGATGTCATTTATTTTCTCTACTGCGTTGCATATGCTGGTTCTTCTCTTCTATCAACGCATAATGGCATCATATTTAAGTGAGCTGGAATGTTGATCATTGAGGCTAACTTTGCTAGTGCATTGGCAAATTGATTATCATCCCTTGGGAGGTATTTAAACTCAATATGTTCAAAATGCTCGATGAGTTGCTTTAGGTGTGCTTGGTATAATATCATTGTAGAGTTCTTTATTTTCCATTTTTAGTATATGATTTATAATCAAGCTAGAATCTCCATATACCTCTAATTTTTTCACACCTATGCTAGCTGCTGCTTCCAGTCCAATAATGCACGCTTCGCATTCTGTAGCATTATTAGTAACCTCAAAGTCTAGTTTGACAAAGATTGGAGTATGTTCCCCCTTTGGACTTATGAGTAACACTCCCACACCACATCTTTTTTGATTGGATGCACCGTCGAAGTACATTACCCTTTGTCAACTTGCGTCATGAGAATCTTTTCATCCGGAAGATGAGTAGTTTCTGCATGACTTGTTTGAATATGATGTTGGGCCAGAAAATCGGAAATTACTTTCCCTTTTATTGATTTTTCAGGAATATATTTTAGTTCAAATTTGGCCAACATTACCAACCACTTGGATATTCTTCCATGTGTAGGTGGTTGTTCAAACAAATAATTTATCGAATTTTGTTGAGAAATCACATGAGTGGTGAGTGGTAGCATGTAATGTCGTAGTATTTTAGTTGCCCACACTAATGCTAAACTCGTTTTTTCCAAGGTGCTATATTGTGTTTCATATTGAATGATTTTTTTATTTATGTGGTATATTGCACGCTCAACTTTTTCTACCTCTTGTGCTAGCATGGCACCTGTGGCCGTGTCTGTAATCGTGATGTATAGCCTAAGAGGTAGTTTGGGTACTGGTGGTGCTAAAACTGGTGGACTTTTGAGATAATCTTTTATTTTCTCAAAGGCCCTTTAGCATTGATCATCCCATTCATGTTTTTCTTCTTTTTTCAATTTTTTAAATATTGGCTCATAAGTCATAGGCCCTGTTTGGGAGAAAGCTGAAAGCTGAAGCTGATTGAGTTAGCTGATTTTATTACTGATTCGACTAACTTATTGTATTAACTGATTATATAAAAGTGTTTGTAAATAGCTGATAGCTTAAAGGTGATTGAGTATGTGAAATGACCAATAAGCTAATTATGGGGTAGGTAGTTTAGATAGGATTTTAAATTAAATGAGGTTATAAGTGTCATTTCACAATAATTAATGAATAAACTAATTGAAAAAGCTCCTAAAATGAGCTTTTTCAAAAAGAGCTTATTTAGTGGAATAAGCTTACTACCAAACACTTGTATTAGCTTGTTTGACTAGTCAATCAGCTAAAGTTAGTCAAATAAGCTAATATACCCCCAATAAGCTAACTACCAAACAGGGCCATAGTCAATTTGTTGATAAACCGACTAATGTATTGTAGTTTGCCAAGAAACCCTCTAATTTCTTTTTCTGTTTGAGGGGTAGGCATATAACCGATTACCTTTATTTTAGAGGGATCGATCTCAATACCACGTGTGCTTACTACGTATCCGAGTAACTTATAAGAAGTTACTCCGAGGCGCATTTTTGTGGATTCAATCGCATTTTATATTCTTTTATACGAGTGGAAAATTAGCGTAAAGCTTTTATGTGTCCCATTCTATGTTTGGACTTTACAATCATATCATCAACATACACTTCTATTTCTTTATGCATCATATCATGCAAGAGAGTCGTAGCCTTTCTTTGGTACGTAGCTCCTGCATTTTTTAAACCAAATGGCATGACTGTGTAGCAATATGTACCCCAAGGGGTGATAAAGCACGTCTTTTCTTCATCTT